TAGCCAAGGCTGGACTCGAACTTACAACGATCCTCCTGCCTCAGCCTCCCAAGTGCTGGGATTACAGGCATGTGCCACCATGCCCGGCACCTTTGTCGGTTTGATTATAGCTGACACATTGTAATTTTTATAATCTTTGACAAAGCGACATTATAAATTTTTTATATGACTATTCAGGCACTAGATTTTATTTAAATTTTTACATGTCACGTTCTGAACTGTCATTTGTTTATCTTTTGGTTTCTCTTCAGGGAACTTTCCCTGGAGAGCCTCTGGCTATGCCTAGTCATACCTGCTGATTATTTTTTATTGAAACTGTTTAAAGTTTCTTTCAAGACAACTTGATCCTTTTCTCTTCTGTGGCCTAATGCTGTTGAGTGTGTGGGTTGACTGGAACACAGACAGCTTTCCATTGGGTGCAATGTTAATTACACCCATTTTTCAGGTTGTAACCACGAATTACCAGTTGTTGAGTGCTGCTTTTGATACACATGATCAAGTTCCCTGAAAATGGAAGTATTTTTGGTTTTCTCCCTTGGCTTACACAGTTCAGTCTTTCCCTCTGCGCACATATTTTTTGAGTGTTCAGGGGTGGCAGGTAGTCCATGGGTGCCCATCTTTATTATCATTGGTCTGGAAACTAGAATGTCAGTGTCCAGGTCTTTCCTACCCTCTGCTTTTCATGCAGACCCACTGAGGGTTTCTTTTTGCATGTTTTGTGGAGATTGAAGATCCTGTACTCCTCAGCATTTCCAGTATCTGATCTGTTTATTGCAGTGTTTCTATGTTCCTTACCAGACTAACACATGGATGAACGTTTCTTAACACTAACTGCCTAATACGGCTCAATTTACCTTTCCTCTGAAAATGTGTATCTGAGTAGCTTGTTGGAACAATTCCCAGTAATTAAATTTGTCTGGCTTTTTGGTTTACTTTTTATGTACTATTTTTTAGCGAGGAGATACTTCCTGTTGTCACTTCTGCTGTCTTATCAGATACTACTTTGCTCCTTTTGTTCACTGCACTGACTTTTCTCTTAATCAAATGAAAATTCCCTCTGCCATCAAGTCCCTGACCTATAGCCTTCGTGAAGTTTGTCCATCATATCTCACTTTTCTTCACACCTGCAGGGGTTTCCAGGTGTAAGGGCTTATTGGACTGTGAAACTGTTTCTGAGAAGGCCACTGCATAAAGTAGTATATTGCATTGTGTACAGGACTTCTGTTTCCTGCTTTCGACAAGGGCTGGTGGCCTGGGAATCAATTTGGCGTCAGCGGACACAGTTGTCATCTTTGACTCTGACTGGAACCCCCAGAACGACTTGCAGGCACAAGCCCGGGCCCATAGAATTGGTCAAAAGAAGCAGGTTAGTGGGAAGAGGCTTCTGAATATGACTTTGGATTTAGAATGAGAGGTTGATTCAGCCCTTCCAGAATGTTTGTGAAACGCTTCTCCATGCCTCCCTGCACGGTTTTACTTCCATTTCCCCCAAGTGTTGATTTCTATTTATTGACCAGTACAGAAAAGGGAAAATGTCTTTGGACCAAAGGTGAATCTGCTAAAGACTTAAGAAAGACCTATGCTGGATAGCCTTATAACTGAACCTTTTCTTTCTCTTAATACAGAGTAGTTGCTAAATATTCTATCATCAGTTAAAATGATGTGTTCTGATACATGATAGCAAATTGGCACACAGGTACATTGGAAAACCATGTGCTTGCTTTTTTTGTGTACGAGTCTCCAGTGTCTGCTGTAGTACTGGCTAAGCGGTAATGATCATATATGGCCAGTGGTTCAGTTTTTGTAAAACTTTCTTGTAGTAAAACTGATTATTCTTTAGCAAGACTTTGGTCATCAGAGCAGACAGTAATGGCAGATCTTCAGAAACTGTTTTATTTATAGATGTAACCTGCTGTAAATACTAATAGTACTGCATTGACCTAAGTTGCTTACTTGGATGGATGGCTCATTTATAGCAACAGAGAGCTAATCTTTTTCTTGTACACTCTTAGTTTTTGACAGAGGTAATTTTTCTTTTTTTTGATCAATCATAAGCATAGCATTTCATTTTCCTGTAGGTAAATATTTATCGCTTGGTTACAAAAGGGACTGTGGAAGAGGAGATCATAGAGCGAGCCAAAAAGAAGATGGTATTGGACCATCTGGTGATTCAGCGCATGGATACCACTGGCCGGACAGTCCTGGAAAACAATTCTGGAAGGTCCAAGTAAGTGCCAGAAAGTTTGGGGAGGTAGGCAGAAGCAAACTGATTTTATATGAATATGTGCTGTAATGCTAACAGGATTTTCTACCACAGACAGTATTTATAGTCTGTCCATTACTTGAAAAAGGCCAGACCATACTCCAAAAAGGATAGCATTTTCATTGTCTTCTGTTTTCCCTGTTCTTTTTCCCACTAGTACTCTCTGTGTATGTGTGTGTGCGTGCCCATGTGTGTGTGCGCGTGCGTGTGCATGTCCCACTTTTGGCTCCTTGTGTGACCTACCACGCAGTGGTAGCAGTGGGACTGTGTTGCCATTGACTTTGCAGCAGTGATGCCACCAGACTGAATTGGCAGGCTGGATTTTACTGCTAGTAGAAGTACTTGTGTGGAGATGGTTGTACTTTTCCTCTTGATAATAGAGGGGTATAGAAAGAAAGGGGTTATAAAAGAAGACCAGTTTCTGTTCTGATCAGATTATTGACAGCCACAGCCACTTTTAAAGTGAAGTGAAATTAGTCTCTTTTTTTTTGGTCTTTTTGAGACAGGGTCTCACTATGCAGTTCAGGCTGGCCTTGAACTCACTTTGTAGCCCAGGTTGGCCTTGAACTCACAACAATCCTCCTGCCTCAGCCTCCTTAGTGCTGGGATTAAAGGCATGCACCACTGTCCACGGCAGTCCTTCTTAACTGGCATGTATTCAGATTATTTTCTATTCAAGAGGAATGTAAGTGAGAAAAGCTTACCTCCTTTTCTTTTTGACCAGAGATGAGAGGGTTGAAACTCGAGGGCAGTGATAATTTTCTGAGTCAGAGGACTTAGGGAGCTCTGTTCTGTTATGTTGCTAAACTTGTTTCTTGCTTAACTATGTAATAGGTGAGCTGGCAGGACAGTTACTGAATTTCTCAACTTCTGCTAGGTTAGCTTTACCACCACCAACTCATCCTGTAAATAAAGAACAGGACAGTAGAGGGATCACTTTTCTTGAGGCAGAATTTGTCTTTCCACCAGTTGACTTCTTTATGAAGGACAGGTGTTCTTTACAGCTTATTTGAGAATCCTAAGAGATTACAGCTATATTTTACTTTTACAGTTCAAATCCTTTTAATAAAGAAGAGCTGACAGCTATTTTGAAATTTGGAGCAGAGGATCTCTTCAAAGAGCTTGAAGGGGAGGAATCAGAGCCTCAGGTAATTAAAAATGAGGGGAAATATTTTTTGTGAAGTGTCATCTATGAGAAAAAAACTTTTTTTGTTTTTTTGGTTTTTTTCTGGTACCGGAAATTGAACTCACAACCTTACACTTGCCAGGCAGGCTCTGTACCGCTGAGCTAAATCCCCAGCCCTGAGAGAGAAACTTTTTTGAGACAGAGTCTCACTGTGTAGTTCAGACTGGCCTGGAACTCATTTTGTAGCTCAGCCTGGCCTCACTTGCAGCCATTCTCCTGCCTCAGCCTCCTAAATGCTGGGATTATAGGCATGTGCCACCATGCCCAGCTATGAGCATAAATTTTGGGGGAAGGTCTGTTTGAGTCCCTTATAAGGAAAGAGTGAATATCTGCAGTAGCATAGTTGTTTTTCTTCCAAAACTCAAAGCTTTTACTAAATTGAAATGGAAAGAATGAATAAAGCATTTAAAAATTCTTTCTTTATTTTTCTACTTAGTTTTGTTTCTTATAATTTCTCAAGTTTCACCTTATCATTTGGATAAAGGGTAGTTTGAAACATTAGATGTGAAAGACAGAGTAGAGAGTAGAACAATGTAGAGAAAGTCAGAAAGTTGGCTTACTTGTATCTAACATTTTCAGTAAATATTGAAGGTAGTTGCCTTTATATCTCTGTTGCCTTTCTTTCTTTTAGGAAATGGATATAGATGAAATTTTGCGCTTGGCTGAAACCAGAGAGAATGAAGTATCCACAAGTGCCACTGATGAGCTTCTGTCACAGTTTAAGGTATGAAGACCTTTGTGGAGAGTTGTCAGTCCTGATTCATTATTAATCACTCTTACCTGCAAGTCCTTCCTTTGTGCTGGACTCCGTTTTCCCTTTCACCTGAACTGACCCACATCCTCAGTGTGAATGTAGTCTGCAGTCCCTCCCAGGAAGGTAACCATTGAATTTGCTATCCTGCCCCAGAGTCAGGGTGGAGAGGAAAAGAGGTCGATGGAGAGGGCTGAAAGTATGTTGTTAGAAGGACAGGTGGAGAATCAGAAGTGTAGAGGAGTGTGCAGCACGTTTATCAGACACAAAAAGGTGTCCAGGTTGTGAGAACCATAGGTAACAGTTGGGAGACTTGACTTGGTGAAGTTTTTTTCTTTAGTTTGTTTTTGTAAAAGGAAATAAAGGATGGTCAGTATTGACTGATAAAATGAAATGAGATCAGGGCTAAATTTAGGAACCGGTGCTTTTGAGTACATGTATTATTAAAAAGCTTAGGGAAGGTAATTTAATGGCGATAAGGGATCAAGCAGGGCCAGATTTTAGGAAGATGTTAGCATGTCTCTAGGTTGACCAGACGACTTTGGGAATAGGGAAATATTGAAGGTTCTAAGGAAAGAAAATTTGATGGTACACTGTCCTGGGGGAAGAGTGGAAGGGTACAGCAAAGCAGGGAGGGAAGACTTGGCTTTGGAAAAAGGAAGCAGTCACTTTAGGAAAGAGAAGAGAAGATGTGGGAATTCAGTTTGTGATGTTAATTATCAGTAAAGTAGTGGAAAAGATTTGGGGCAGCCATAGGTGGGGCTGAGAGTTGTGGGGGGAACTTGATAGGGAGTCACCTGAGCCAGATGAACTGCTTTTCTGTGGAGCCAGTCAGCAAGATCATATAACTTTGTCCAGCAATACTTGAGATCAGAGAAATTGGATCAGTTGGTGATCTGATCCTTAGGAGGGAGATTAGCTTGGGAGTGAGGGGAAAGTCAAAACGGCAAGGGTTTCCAGGGTTCAACTTGATTCCATGTAGGTTAGGAGGAGCAGGAGAGACCTGAAGGTTACTGTGATGGTCAAGTGCAGCAGGCCCATTAGGTTCAAGGGAGACCATAATGTTTTTGGAAGGAAGGAAGCAGTGTTGTGTGCTCTGCTCCTTTGGCCACAGGCTGAAGTTGTCTTGTTGGAAGAACAAGGAGGAAGTAGAGGCGAGGGTCAAAGAGCTCAAGGAGTAGAGTTTAGGTGTGTAGAGGTAGAACGGGACAGAGGTGGATTATTGGTATTTGGGTGCCAAAGCAAAGTGCTGTAGATTGAGTGCTTTATATCAACAACAGACATTTATATTTCATACTTCAGAAAACTTCTGAGATCAGGGTGCCAATATGATCGGGTTCTGGTGAAGGCTGTTTTCTGAGTCACAGATTGCTGTGAATATGAAAAAATTAATTCTATACAAACTGAGTTTATGGTTTCTCAAAGTCAAAGAATAAAGTTGTGGGCCTAAAGGTGCAAGTTAGGACAGTATTTATTGGAATTAATAATAATAACTGCTAGATTTCTAGGAAGTGTCCCAAGTAGGTGACCACATGGCCAGAGCTACTTATGGGTAAGTTGAACATAGGAGGTGCTCAGTTTTTTAGTGGCCACCTATCACAGTTGGTTCTGTAGATTTGAAATGACTAAGTAAAGAACTCAGGCTTCTAACCCAGTTACTCGGTAGGTGGGATTTAAAGGAAACTAGCCTAGGGATATATAGCTCAGCTGCACGGAGCATGCCTGTCAAGCACGAGGTCTTGGGTTCGATTCTCAGTACAAAAAAAAAAAAAAAAGGAAACTAGAATTTTAAAGAAAAACTTGTTATTTTGCATTTTAAGTTCCTTTAAATTCAGGAACTTAATAGGGAGGCATTGTGTTCCATGCTGCCTGAGGAAGTTCATTCTTGGTCAAAAGTCAGAGTTCTTACTTAAATTCTCATCAGTGTGGTTGATCACCCAGCTCTGTGTCAGGTCCTTTCCCTGGCTAGCTGCTAACTAAATAAACTTTTTTACAGTTATATCCTCGGCAGATAGTCTGTTCTCCAGAGTCTGGCCCTTAACTACAATACTGCGTTTGGAAAATTCCCAAGTGAATGTAACATCACATATGCATATTTATATCATTTTATTATTTTCTGTTTTATTCATCTTATTATTTTCATATAAATATCATATTTAAAGTAATTACAAACAGTGCTTGATTTGAGAGAATGATCAGGTGATTTTTGAAACTGTCAGAAATTGTACTTTATTTTGTCTTAAAATTTAAAAAAAATCTGATTGTAAAAATCATGATGTATACTTGTTAGAAGTTAAAGAGTTAATTCTCCCCAAAAGTCAGAAAGTTCTGACTTGATTGTACTGCTCCAAATTGCTTAAGGAATGGAACTACCAGAAGCTTTTTTGTCTTTCTTTGTGGTCTTCAAGGCTAGGAGGGAAAGAATGGAAGAAGGTACAGCTCTGCTTACCAGTGCCTTAGGCTGTCCAGAGCGGGTCAGTCTTTCTCTGTAGCCGCAGTCTGGTTCTGTGAAATGTGTACATTTAGATGGCATTTTTTTCAGGGCTACATACTGTTTTAGTTCAAATCTGTATCAGGTATTAGACAATATTTAATACTAAATAAATGTAATATTCTTACAGAGTTTTTTGGTGGTTTTTTTTGAGACAACGTCTCACTATGTAATTTAGACTGGCCTTGAATTTGCTTATATCGCCCAGGGTGGCCTCAAATTCACAGTGATCTTCCTGCTTAATGCTGGATATAGGCGTGCTGCACCATGCCTGACTATTCTTGTAGGTTTGTTCAACGTTGTTCATTTTATGTTGTCATTTTCAGTCCTAAGACCAAAGTTCACTTTTGAACATATGCAGTCATTGCATATACTTAATGTTTATATGTTTGACAGAGATGAGTATGGTGATTGGTTGGCTAGATGAATTGACCTCTAATCAGTAGCAATATATAGAAATGTAAGTTCATCGTGGATTATTAAGTACTCATCATTTTACAATTTAAATAAATTATACAATTACTGTTACATTTACTAGAAGTATATATGACTTAAACATTTTTCAGAGAAACTAAGGAACAGTTTATATCCTTGTGATATACTGTGCACCCAAGGGATAGATTTGAGGTCCTTGTGTAGGGTGAGCAAAGAAGTGTACATTCACTGGTAAAAGAAGGTAATCTCCGTAGCAGTAAGGTGTGCTTGGATTCCTGCCCCAGAAGCACAGAGGTAGCACGAACAGGAAAAGTGGTGCTGGGTTGGGGAATAGGAAGAAAGAAGGTAAATCAGGCTTTTCGATTTTAAAAGATGTGCACCCTGCCCTGGGTACCTCTCACTGCAGCTGTCTGGATAACATTGTCAGAAATGATTGACAGGGTGCTCAGTCATCTTAGGGTCCCGGACTCTCCCAGACTTTACTCTTTTTTAATCACATATATGATATGTGATCCCTGTATATGAACCTTTGTTGAAGTTTGGATGGGGCCAAGGTTACTAAAGGTCAGGCCACAGGGTTCTAATGGGATCTAACAGGCACATAGTCTGGTTTGGAGCTTTAGAGATTTTCTGGGTCCTTGTTATTCTTACTTCACTTCTCTTAGGACAGTGGTGGCAAGCCTTTTAAAGACCAAGTGTCCCAACTGCAGCCCAAACCTACTTACTTATCGAAAGTGCTAACACTGCAATTAAACCTGAATGCTGAAGTTTTAGTTTAGAAAAACAGCTCATACTTTAACATCTTTTGTCTTAAAAGAAAAACACAATAAACACAATGACAGAGACTTCAATGAAACAAACAGCCTTTCATGGAAAGGTTAAGTCTGCATTTGGCGTGCTTTTGCACCGTCACTGTGCTCTTCGCTGCTGTGTGCTGGTAGCTCATCAAGCCTTGGCTCATACTGTGTTAGTTTGAGAGCAACACACAGTGCTCACGTCAGATTTGATGTAATTCACAGCTAAAGACAGCTGCTCAAAAGCATAAGATGATCCAAACAAAGTAAGAAAAGCAATCCCAAGTGCTTGCATTGACTTAAAGTTATTTGGCAGAGAATGCCACTTTAAGGATTTCATTTTCACACCTACCAACTGTGCTGTCCTTGTCGTCCAGTCACTCTTATCTCAACTGTTTCCAGATAGAGCTTTCTTGAAATTTCAATAGCTCCGTTTCCAGATTTCTAAAGTCTACTCAGTATGAGCAGGAAAGATCAAGTTCTTCAAATTTGGCTTTATCTAGACAAGTAAGAAAATACAGGGTTGGGGCTGGGGATTTAGCTCAGCGGCAAAGCGCCTGCCTGGCAAGCGCAAGGTCCTGAGTTCGGTTCCCGGTACTAGAGAAAAACCAAAAAAAAAAAAAAAAAAAATACAGGGTTGTCTCCATCTTACAGAACTGTAAAAATCTGTTTCTAAAATTCTCTTTTGCAGTGCTGCAGTGTTAGAAAATTCCCTGTAGATTTTCTAATGACCTGTAGGATTGTCTGCAAGTATTATAGAATTTTTACAACGCAATTTTAGATTTTAGAAATATTTCAGCTGCCCAGTTTCAAGGTCTCATATGCTGACAAAGAGGGCTCTGCATGCCATAGATTCACCGCCACTGTCCTTGGACAGTGGAAGGAGGATTGGCTCTGGGGTGTTGCCTGAATTCAACTAGGTAGAAGGGGAGTGATCTTCTAGCCCAAGTTATATTACCTGTACTACTTCTGTTTGTTTGTCTTCTTTTCAGTACAATTTCTGGTGAGCTTATGGGTTGAACAAATTGATTTAGGAAGGGGCTGGGGATTTAGCTCAGCAGCACAGCACTTGCCTGGCAAGCGCGAGGTCGTAAGTTCGATTGCTGGTACCGGGAAAAAAAAAATATGTTTGGGGCTGGGGATTTAGCTCAGTGGCACAGCACCTGTCTGTCAAGTGCAAGGTCGTGAGTTCGATTCCTGGTACTGGAAAGACAAACAAACAAAAAAAGCCAAGTTGATTTAGGGGGACATGAGAAAGGATAATAGAAAAATTCATTATGTCATATAGTATCACCAGATTCCTATGACATTGTCTCACGTAGGTTAAAAACACTGGTTAAGTTGATGTTTTGTCAGAAGGTATTTGGAAGTAGAGAAATGTCAGACAGCATCTTGTCTGTTTGTTTTTAGGTTGCCAACTTTGCAACAATGGAAGATGAAGAAGAGCTAGAAGAACGTCCTCACAAGGATTGGGATGAGATTATTCCAGAGGAGCAAAGGAAAAAAGTAGAGGAGGAGGAGCGGCAGAAGGAGCTAGAAGAAATTTATATGTTGCCTCGAATTCGTAGTTCCACTAAAAAGGTGAGGAGGAAGTGAGGTGGAAGTCATGGACGTCCAGTACTGTGAAGTCTGCCCTTGGTGCAGGTGACTGCAGGCAGAGGCCTTGCACTGTTGCCCTGACTCAGAGGCCCGCAGATAGAGTTAGGGTGCAGGAAATCAGAAAGGAAAGGGAGAGGTGCACAGAATGTACAAGCACACCTATAAGATGATGGACTTTGTAACCCAGCTTCTTATGAAATGGCTGAAGGGGATCTGAGTTCAATAGAAGTTCAGATTTTGCCTTTGAGATTAGGACTGGTGATCTTAAAGGTTTGGTTCTAATTGCCACTGCCTTCAGCTTCAGAGCTTTTAAAGTGTTCATAGCACTTGCTATAGATACTTATGTAACTAAATACGTTACCTAATTCAAAACAAGGAACATAAATAGGCTTTACACCTTACAAAAATACCTTCATAGGCACCATCTAATTTGACTTTTGAAACATTGAAGTAGATAAGTTTTGTTACCCATTTTTGTTGGGGAGGGTGGACTTAGATTTGTCTATCAGCACAGTAAGTCAGTATTAGCTACCATTTATTGAGTACTTCCTATGTACCAGGCATAGTTCCAAGCATATTTGTACTTACTGACTCATTTAAATCTCAGGAAAACCCTGAGTTATATGGACTGTTGTACTGTTACAAAGAAAAAAACAAAGACACAAAAAAGTAGGTACTTGTCCAAGGAAGTAAAAATGAACTTGGTTTATGTTGGATATTCTATACATTAGATAGTATAAAAATACCCAGATATTTAACCCACTTTATTTATTATTATGGTACAGTGTCTTGGAAAGCGTGACTGTCCCAAGCAAGTTTTTCCCTCATTATACGACATCTTACTTGTTAAAAGGAAAATTGACTTTTTAAAAAATTCTGAGTACGAGGGAACTAGAAAGTTGGGCAGGTTGTAGTCCTTTTATTTCTTGGAGCTGACACTTACTTAAGTGTCACTTTTATTTTTCAGGCTCAGACAAATGACAGTGATTCTGACACTGAGTCTAAAAGGCAAGCCCAGAGATCCTCTGCTTCTGAGAGTGAGACAGAAGACTCGGATGATGACAAGAAGCCAAAGCGCAGGGGGCGTCCCAGGAGTGTGCGCAAAGACCTAGTGGAGGGCTTCACGGATGCGGAGATCCGCAGGTCGGTGCAGGCTCTGCTGCTGTTTGAGCTTGCTTGGAAGGGCGTGCTGGAAAGCCTGATGAGGTTCCTGGCGTTTGTGTTGGGGTGGGCAGCAGTTTAATACCTAAGAAAAAGGTAGAGAAGATGAGTCATATTCCCAGTCTTCAGGGTGATTACTTCTGTGGAGTTTTTCTCAGTTGAGATTTTTCTGCTTCCTTGCTCATATTGTTTTGTTTTCCTCTTATTCTTTGGTTATTAGAACGTTGTCATGAAGTTCAACTAGGGGTAAGGAATTCACACAGACACACAGACACACACGAAGGAAGAGGGATCTGCACATGTAACAAGTAACATGAATTTTTAGAATAAGTACAAATAAGTATCCTTACTAACTCCCCTCTTTCTCCCTGACCCTGCCTCAAATCTAGTTTCCTCAGTGTTAGTACCGATGCCAGTTTTTGATGGTTTGATTCCTTTGCAGGTTGGCAGCTTGTTTGTTTTTGTTTTTGATGTTTTTGTTTTATGTTGTGTTTTTCTGTGTTTTTGCCACTTGAAATCAGTTGTTGCCATACTTCTGTGTCAGATACCCACATTTATTGGTATGTTTCATACCTCTCTGACCTCCAGAAACATCTAAAATTGTACTTCCAAATTAGTTTTCCTAGTTTCTACATTTTTGTTTTTTTCCAAAGCCTGAGGAAAAAGTATGAAGATAATTTTATGACCCTATCCATAATATAAATAGTCCTTTAAGACCAGTATATTTGAAATTGTGAGGTCTTTGTTTCCACTTAAATGTTGTACCTATTTTCCTTCATCGCTACCAGAGTATAACTGTACTTAACAGCTCTGAGTATGTAGCACATCCTCCTCCTCTTGCTCTCTACCCCCAGGATTTGGAGAAGAATGTTTTCTGCTGTTAGGTGGAATGTTCTATATATATTTATGAAATTTACTTGGTTTAGTGTTGTTCAGATCCTCTATTCCTTACTGATTTTCTGTCTAGTTCTGTTATTGAAAGTAGAGTGATGAACTTTCTGTTATTCTATTTTTTTGTTTTGTTTGTTTTTTGTTTTTTTCCGGTCCCGGGAATCGAACTCATGACCTTGCGCTTGCCAGGCAGGCGCTGTGTCACTGAGCTAAATCCCCAGACCTCTGTTATTCTTGTATTGCCTATTTGTTCCTTTAGTGTGGTCAAGTTTTGCTTTAAGTGGTTTGGAACTCTGTCATTAGGTGCATATACTGTAATTTTATAACTAATATCTCTTTGTGATGATTGGTTTTCTTTTAAATCATTGTGAAACTGTCTTTCTTTTTGTCTCTAGAAGCAATTTTTGTCCTACAGTGTGTTTTTTAAATTCTGATATTTGTATAGCTATTCCAGCTGTCTTTCTGGATATTTGAAATATAATTTTTCATCTTTTTAATTCAGTCCAACTATATCTTGGAATCTAATTTGTATCTTAGTGTAATTGGACCTTTTTTCTTCTTGGAGGGGGTTCGTTTCTTTTTGGCACAGGATCTTCCTTTGTGTAGTGTAGGCTGGCCTTGAACTGACTATTAGCCCTGGCTGTCCTAACACTTGCAGTGATCCTCTTGCCTTGGCCTCCCGAGTACTGGGATTATAGGCGTGTGCTACCATGCCCGGCATGGGTCATGTTTTAAAATTTTTTTTTCTCCGATCTCTTCCTTTTTATTGGAATCTAATTCATTTACATTCAGTGTAGTTACTATTGATAAGTGAGATTTATTGCAAATCGCATCATTATTATTTCTTCTTTTTGGTTATATTCTTTTTTGGTTATATTCTTCTTCTTTTTTGGTTATATTCTTGGTGGTTGCCCTGGAGATTACAAGTAATACCTTGATTTATAACAGCTTAATCCCAATGATTTATTCCAAATAAATTCCTCCTGTGTTTGTGCTGTTGTCATGCAAGGTATCGTTACACACTGTAAGCAGCCTAGCAATATAGTCTCAAAAATATTGGTTTGTGTCATTGCCTTTTAAAATCAGAATTGTTACGACTAAAAATACATTTGTAGTATTTTTATACGTCAGATAGTAGAGTTACTACTAAAAATACATTTTTTAGTATCTTTATATTTACTTAATTATCCTACAGGTGCTCATTTCTTCATGTGGATTTAAGTTATTGTTTATTTTCCTGTGATACCTACCTGCAGGACACTTCAGTATTTTCTTTTGGGATATGTCTGTTAATCAAAAATTTCTGTATTTTTGTATATCTGGTCTTGTCTTAATTCTCCTACATTTTTGAGGGATAGTCTTCATTCTTTTATCTTTCTGTTTTCACCATGGATAATCTCAGTTGGCCTATCTTTATGTTTATTGATTCTTCTGTTATTGTGCATTCTTTTTCAACTCTAGGATTTCTGTTTAATGCTTCTAATTTCTGTTTCTATTTATATTCTGTGCTTGGTGATACTGTTACTCTGAAACTTTTTAAAAATTCTTTAGTCATGGATTTCTTGTTTTTGTTTGTTTGTTTTTCTTTGGGTACCCGGAATCGAACTCACTCTTTGCCACTGCGCTAAATCCCCAGCCCCTAGTCATGGATTTCTTTAGTTCTTGTACATATTTGTAATAACAGCTTAGCGTCCTGGTCTTGTAATAACAGATTAGTGTCCTGGTCTTGCAAGTCCACGTTCTGGACTTTGTCAAGCATGGTTCTTCATGGCCTATTTCCTGTGTATGCGTTCTCTCTTTCTTCTGTGTTTCCTATAATTTTTGGTGGTGTTGAAAACTGAACATCTGAAGTAATGTGGCAGCTCTGAAGTCGAGTCCCCTGCCAGACTTGGTTGTGTTTGCTGCCCCTTCTCTTCGCTTGTGTAGTGATTTTCCTAGAATAGTTTTATGAGGCTCATGTTCTTTCAACAGAGGGCTGGGGAAGTTTTATGAGGGCTGGGGAAGTAAAGTCTCTTCCCTTCAGTTGTGTGGCTAACTAGCCAGGCTGAGTGTTCCTTAACTGCCTTGGGCCACTCAGTCTGTGACCCTTCGTTGAAGGGCTGTGTGTCCTCTGGTGTGTCACAGTGCTTGGAGTGCTGTTTATGCCTCTGCTTTAAGCTTAAGTTTCTGTACGTGCAGATCCTCAAGGTCAACCAACATTGAGAGGTCAGGACCTTCTCAGAGGGACCTGTGCTTTCTCACAGACCTGCAAGATGTGTGCTTTTGGTTGTTAGGACTATGTCACACCTTTTCAGAGCGTCCTGTGGACATCTTTCTCCACAGGTCTTCCTCTTCAGCTAAGATCAACCTCTTCTCATCCCCAATGGTATTGTTTCCCCACCTGACTGGGATTTGTTGTTAAGCCTTTTTATTAGTTGTTCCTGACAGATGCACTGTGGACAAGACTGTCCAGAAAGAGCTCTAAATCAGGGCAAATACAGGGCAGCATGAGAAGGTGCTCAGTAAGGACACAATTCTCTAGGGATAGAGCTTTTGGGAAGCTTCCAGCCTGTTCTTCTACCTCTAGGGCCTGCTATTTTGCAGGCTGGTACAGCTACTGTAATTGCAAAGGGGATAGTTTTCAAGGCTGTCGAGAGCTAGAGAGAAGGGGATGGGAGCAGAGCAAGTTAAAATGGCAGAAAACTTGATATTCTTGCTGAGACACAGTGATTTTCTTGAACAAATTCTTTGTACATGACTGCAAATCTGCTTGATTTCCAGAGTTCTGACAGTTGAGTGTAGCAGTTTTTTTTCAGTGTTCTTTTTGCTTTTATGGAGAAGCTTTTTAGGTCTTTTGAGGTCCTCACTGCCATTCTGGAAATGCTTTCCCTGATGATGGTGATTTTTACTATTATCAGTTTTTTTTTGAGTCAAGTTCTCGCTTTGTAGTATAGGCTGGTTATGAACTCATGATGTATCCCAGGCTGCCTTCAGCTCCAAGAGATCCTTCTGCTTCAGTCTCCTGAGTGGTGGGATTATAGGTCTGCGCCACCACAACCTGGCTCTTACTGTTAGTATTATTATTTTTTTTTTTTTTTGGTTTTTCTCTGGTACCGGGAACCGAACTCACGACCTTGCGCTTGCCAGGCAGGCGCTTTTGCCGCTGAGCTAAATCCCCAGCCCCTTGTTAGTATTATTGCTGCTACTACTTTCATGATGTTTGGGTTTGAATCCAGAGTCTTGTGCATGCTAGGCTGTCATATAGCAGGGTTGAAGGAGGCCCTGAAAGAGGAGGTGGAGAGCTTTGGCCTCACTCCACTATGAGGCAGGCTGCCTGTGTGCTGATTTCTGCCACAGGAGAGCGATTTTCAGGGTGTGTCAGTGAGAGCCATAAACGTTCATTAATTGGAATTTTAAAAGTGCTCACTTGAAGTAGATTGCAGGCCCTCAGGAGGGAAAGGTACCTTGTGACCTGGGGCTGGGTATATTTATCGGGTTTTGGGGTGTCCCTAAGATGAATTCTCAAGGATGTGTATTTTGGTGTCTGCTGGGTTTTGGCCATTTTAGCCCATTTCCTGGGCAGCACAAGCCCTTACTTGTGTTTGAGGGTGAGATCTGGTATCCTCCAATGGTGAGCTTCCTGGGGTGGGGGTTGGGAGGAGGGAGCACAATTTACAGGTAAAAGGCACAAGCAAGACCCCAGTTTGGAGGTGATCGTCTTTAAGGCCATTAGGAATTCTTCCTGGAAGGGAAAAAAGAAGCTTGACTAACTTTTGTGTCCTAAAGTTGCAATTTTTCTTAAAAAGTACACTTTTCTTGTCTCCTTTCTGTCTTTATTCAGTCTTACCCCAAGGCCAAGGGCTCTGTCACTGACCTAGATCCCTATTCAAGCCACCTTATTTCAGACATAGACTATTTCAGTGTATATTAAGGAGGGAGAACCGTAGCATTGAGAAGTAATCCTCGGGCTCGCATTCACGTTTAACACTTTGCTAGTCCTTGTTTGAACATTAAATTTAATATTGTTTCTCCTTAATATTGTTTCTTGGCTGTTGTCACATTTAGTCCTGTTCTCTTCAGCTGTCACACCCTCTGATTTCCATTTCTTTGTTAGTATTGCTCCTTACACAGTTACCTAACCATATTTTCTTAGTACTTTGGCACGTGACTGTAGTGATGGTCTTGATGTATTGTGGCATCTTGCTTTTTAGTGAAAATTTCAGTGGTTAGCCTGCAAGGGTAGGGAGAGGATAACAACACAGATCGAAGGTAGCATGGTTTAAAGTAAAAAACGTGGAAAGATCCATTGGATTTTTGGTGGAGTTAGGGTTGGACAAGACTCCACTGGAGTTTTAAAAATAGTTGTGCCTAAAAAGTTTTAAATCATATTTTTATTTTACTCTACTTTCAAAAATATTTGACAGATTTCTAGAAATCTTGTAGCTGTATCATTGACCAGAAAAAAAATGGAAAATATTGCAGTATGAATTAAAGTAAAACAAGTGTACCAAATAGGCCAGCGACTGATGTTCGGGTTTTGTCACAACAGAGTTGCGGTGCCTGAATCGTTACATTGCGTCTTGAGCTTTTTGAGCTTGTACCTTCTGAAGAGGATATTAGAGTTAATCCTCAGTTCTTTTCTGTTGTGTACCTAAATAGTTTCATGATCAGTCACTGAAAATAAACTTGATCTTTAATTTAATCGATCTTCAGTACTCATTATTTTCATCAACTGATTTCAGAGATACTCAACATACTTTATTTTAGTGATTGTTGCCAGGATTGTGCCTGTTTTTGACAAGTTGCATGACTCATATGTCATCACAGGATATGTTGGCATTAACATAACTAAAGTCTCTGATTTTAATGTATTTTATTGATCATATCCTTAGGTTCATCAAGGCTTATAAGAAATTTGGTCTCCCTCTTGAACGGTAAGCTCTGTAATAGTCTTATCCTTCTTTGCAGTTTTATTATATAGCAGGTTCTTTTGGCAGTATTTTCCATTTAATAATAATGTTGGGAACACTGTTTCTGGAAACATCCTTTTATGAACACTGACATGTTGGGTGGGTGTCCCTCTCTGGAAGGTTGCAGCAGAGACAGCCTACCCAGAGGTTTCCCTCAGTGAGGGAGCTGGAGCAGGTGCATGCGAAACTACGCAGTGTGCGAAGTGATTTCCAGGAGAGTTCAGTTGACTCCAGTGAGAAAGAGCATATGTAGTTACTATTTGCATTTTAGTTCTTAGACTTAATAATGTGGAAGGAGAAAGATTCTTTGTGACTTCAAAAATCTTTTACTAATTTAGGAAGGTGTCATGAAAATTAAAGAACTTGCATTACCTTCCCAGTAGTAACAAAGAGGTTAACCGTTAGCATTATTCAACAAGCATTCAAAAAAAATGAATTCAGAAGCTGGGTATGGGCATGCCTGTAATGCCAGCACTTTGGAGCCTGAGGCAGGAAAATCGTTACTAGTTCGAGACCAGCCAGGCTACAAAGTGAGCTGAAGGCCAGTCTGAATTGCATAGTAAGACCTGTCTCAAAAAGAAACCCCCACCAAAACAAAACTAAAAAAAAAAGTATGTGTGTATATATATTGAGCAGTTAGATTTTAAGACATGGCTCTATTTCACATAGTTAAGTATTTTGCTTTGTAAAGAAAAGTGCCCTTAAAGGAATTGTGATAAACTTCTAAACTTCTGGAGCTGGTGAAAGTTCCAAGCCTGTGTTTTTGTGTTGTTCTTCCATGTGGTAAGGAAGTAGTGACGTATAATAATAACTCACGATGAAACTGAAAAGTGCTTCTCTGCAGGCTGCCACCCCGAAGTAAAATGCTTCTCTTTGAGCCATAACTGTAAAAGCCAGGAGGATGTAGAAAACATGTGGTACCTTTTGGCAGCCCGATTTTTAGTCTTTGTGTTCATGGGCTCCATGACTTAGAGATCAGCTGAGTACCTTGTAGAAGGAACTATACTGTGCTCCTAGGAAGACTGCAGTGAACAAAGTAGATGTTTCAGTAGATGTCTTCAACAATCTGTGAACAGAAGCAGATGGCCGATTTATCTAATAAGCTTGTCTTTCTGACTTCGAGAATTACTTGTGGCATATTCCGAGACACAGCTCTTGAAAATGAGTGCATTATCTCTCAGTGACTAAGGATTTGGTTTAAAAAATTTTTTTTGGTGCTAGAGATTAAACCCAGGACATTACATATTGTCCAAGAATTCTTCTTTTACAATAATCCTTTGAACGCCCTGTAAAGAAAGGCAGAAAAACTGTCGTTGTAGGGACAAGCTTATGAGAGACTACTGGAATTTCATATGATGTTTTTTTTTTTTTTTTGGCACCGGGAATTGAACTCAAGACCTTGCGCTTGCCAGGCAGGTGCTGTGCCGCTGGGCTGTATCCCCAGCTCTCATGTGATGTTTTAAAATGTAGACACTATGTCTCCATATTTATCATTCCTCAGGCTGGAGTGCATAGCCCGTGATGCTGAGCTGGTGGATAAGTCTGTGGCAGACCTGAAGCGCCTGGGTGAACTGATTCACAACAGCTGTGTGTCTGCAATGCAGGAATATGAAGAACAGCTGAAAGAAAATGCTAGCGAGGGTAAGGCAGCAAGTCCCCTTCAGTACCTCTTCAAGATCAGATGTTCTTTGCTGAAGAGCTTTGGAAAACAACTTGTACTGAACCCCACACATAGCTCATGCCTTGAGGTGCATGTTCTAAGGTGCCTTTCTGTGAGCTCAGGGCTCTGAGATGCCATGGACCAGGTACCCACAAATGAAGTGGATTTCTGGAAGGTACAGATCAATGAACAAAATGAAGTGGTTTCTTTTATGTTGCTATAAAAGTGTAAATTGGTTTGGCTGAAATAAAAACCTGAGGGTCAACACCAAGTGGAGGCCTCTGTATTTTGGTTGCAAGTGAGGGATTGTATGAGGTCCTTAATTATTTGGATATACGTACAGTAGCGTTAAACTGGGTCAAGTGTAAATAACTCAGAGAAATAATTGAAATGAAATATTGTATGAATACTGTAAACATTTTTTTCCCCCCGGTACCAGGAATCGAACTCACGACCTCGCGCTTGCCAGGCAGGTGCTGTGCAGCGCGAGCTAAATCCCCAGCCCTTGTAAACATTTTTGTTACATTGAGATTTTCATGCCACTGGAGTTCGTTGTACCTAGATTTGATATGTGATGTGTTTTCTCTTAGACAGACATCAGAGATGTTTTTGCCTGTCCTGTGTGATAGCTTAAAAGGAAGAGGTGTAGGGATGCTTATAAGGAGAGAGCTCAGAAGTTACCTTATAGGAGTGAAGCTATATTCCTGTGTTTTCCAGGCCATGGTTTATGTGTGTCGTTTTCCCCATTCTTGTGTTACTGTTTACTGTGCTAGGTGAGGCTACCCTTCGGAGGTTCTGTTGGCACCGAGGCCCTGGAAGTAGCCAGATTCCTGGAATTTTGGATTTGCTCTTTCTTAGTTACAAGATCTTGGACAAGATCTTGTTTTACTCTCACACCTATCTCATGTGCACAGTGGTGTAATAGTAAGCAAAGGCTTTGGATGATTAATTGAATAACATTATATAGTATCTGGCTTGTAGTTTAGCTATTATTAGGAAATGAGTATTTGTCCTTTGGGATTTAATTTTAAGGATACTTCTGAAATTAATAGAATTTAAAAATATTTCAGATATAGTACAACTTTTTAAAGGTAAAGTAAAAACTTCTTAAAGCTTGTTTTTTGTAAATGAAATTTAAATAGCCTAATAGCTTGGACAGTGATATAAATATGTGTTTTTATAGCATGCAGGAAGCAGCTAAAACTAGCTGTAAAGTTACAGTGTTTCTTCTTTGTAATTGTTTTGAATAAAAATATTTACATAGCTCAGAATTGAAAAAACATGTATCCCTGTCTCTCATCTTTCTGAGAAATTTTAAGATGCACATTTTTTACCAAAAAGTAGATAATTCCTTTTTTGGGGGTGTGTGTGTGTGTGAGTGAGTTTTTGAGGTAGATCTCACTATGTAGTTCAACTGGCCTTCAACTCACTATGTAGCCTAGACGGGCTTGGCCTCAAACTCACAGCTGTCCTCCTGCTTCAGCCTCCTGAGTGCTAGGATTACAGTCATGAGCCACCATGCCTGGCACTTCTCCACTTTAAACACAAATCACTGGTAGCATAATACACAGACTGTTCTATTCTTTGCTTTTTCAGTCTCATAGAGATAACTTCCTTATTATGTCCTATTGTCTCCACATCTCTTATTTTCTTACACATGTTCACATTCTGGATCTGACTGCTTCCTCTTGGCATTGTATAATTTGTTATAGGAAATAGAAAATTTGCATTTTCTGTAAACTGGTTATTTAGCATATTTTGAATCCAGACCGATATTTCAATTTCCCTTGGAAGATTATTGATATTCTTCCTAAAAAATAGGAAAATAAATATATATTTGTTTTATTCTCTATTATGTATATTCACTTCCAAATAGCAGTACCAGTGTTATTGTTACCCATAAAACTCCCAAATGCAAAGTTTGATTTCCTTGCTTATCTTTTTAAAAATTAGAATACATTCCCCTTAACATCTTGTCAAAATACTATATTTTAAAATTATTTGAAGTTGTTTTCTGTGTTGGTTAAACCACCAACTTAATTTATAGATTCCTGTTTTCATTTATTTTTAATTTTAAGACAACACTCTTGTTACTTTGATTGAGCTTTTTAAACTGTAAAACAGGGTTCACATGAAGTATCTTGGTCTCATACTTACTTTCCACCCCTGTTCTTTTCTTCCTCCTTTGGTCACATTCCTAGTAGTTTACATTTATTATTCCACTGCTACTTTTTTAAAAATTTAAGCATATGTGTGTATGTTTCTCCTTTTACAAGAGAATATACTTGATTACCTTCACATCTAAGAGCTCTTCTTGTCATTAGGTAAAGATTGTCCCTTCCTTGACAATTGCCCAGGATTTTACTATGTAGATAGATGGTAATTCACTTTTTTGTTCCTTAGTAATGAATATATGAGCTGTCAGTCTTTATCATTATAAATAAAGCCACAGAGAATAAGTGTGGTCTAATAAATATGCTCTTGCAAGTTTTGGGGGAAGATTTCTAAAAATAGGAGTGCTGGGTCCTGGGGCAAAATATATACACAGAGTAATAAAGAAATGGAGGAAATGTTTACTTTTAAAAATTCATTAAAAGATACATGGCCACTAGTCCACTTGACTTGAAACACACTTATCCCATTATTCTTGCCATTTTGTGAAGCAGGTAGTTCTGGACATTCTCTTTCATAAATATTTTTATCAGAAGTGATCAAAATGTGGTGAATGCTACTGCTGGCTACCTTTCTATGGTGAGGCAGGCTTGTAAGAATATCTGCCTCATTCACTGGATCTGGCTGTATGTGAATTCTGGCTCTTCCTCAAAGTTAAAATGACCGTGAAAAATGAATGTTTGGAATTGATTCATACCTTGAGGCAGCCATGACAGTGCCACTAAAGACACTCCACTCAAAAAGTGGATGGGATCAGTGTGTTTGAAGTGAGGGTATTTATTTTGAGGGGGATTAATGGCAATGTGTCTTTTACTGTAATAAATATTCACATTTAAATATTTACTGTAGTTTTGATTATACCTCATAAGTACTTTGTTTCAATATTGCCAAATTCTCCTTTCTGTGTCTGGGGTTATTATCACCAGTAATGTTTACTAGTATCTGTGTATAAGCCTCACAAATAGTATATATTGTTTTTCTGTTTGTTTGTTGTTTGTTTTGTCTTTTTGAGACAGGGTCTCACTATGCAGTTCAGGCTGGCCTTGAGCTCACTTTGTAGCCCAGGCTGGCCTCAAACTCCTAATGATCCTCCTGCCTCAGCCTCCCGAGTGCTGGGATTACAGGCGTGCACCACCACGCTCGGCCATAGTATATATTGTTAAATGTTTGGATTTTTGCTAGCCTGATAGGAGTAAACACTGTCCTATTCTTCTTCTAATGAGCAAGATTATGCGTGTCTTTTAAGGGACAGCTATCACCACATATTTTGCCAGTTTTCTATTGAGAACAGTTTTAAACAAGTGGTGTTATCTTACAGATTTCAACTTGGACTCTTTAGAGTGATGGGGTTTTATTTTTACTTCTCAGATCTTTATAATTTCAAGTATAGGTGAAGGTAAACTTTTCATGGCAACCTTTTGTGTCTTACTCACCTTTTTATTGCCGAGACACAGTATCTGACGCCCACAAATTAAAGGAGGAGGGATTTGTTTTGGCTTGCAGTGTGTGGAGGTTTTAGTCCACAGCTGAGTGGTTCCAGGATCGTGTGACAGAGGAGAGCCCCTTGTGGTGCAGTGGACAGGAAGCAGAGACACAAGGGAGGATCCAGGAAGGGAGATGCAGCCTTCTGTGTCACATCCACAGAGACTCACCTCTTCCGCCCAGGCCCTACCTACTAACGGGAAGTCAGCTATAGTGTCCTCTATGTAATCCAGTCACCTTCCAGAGGTCCTGTCATGATAGCATGAGGTTTTAGGGGGACATCTAGATATATCATAGTACTTTATCATTTCATGTGTTAGGTATTAAAATGGTGTGGTACTTTTTCAGTAATGATATTTTAAAGATGAATTCTAAATTATCTTTAAGATACTAGAGTTTCTAAAAACTCTGATAATGGGATTGGTAGGTAAATAAAAGGAATAAACTTTAAGCATTAAAGTGATACCTTCAGCATTTTCTTTTAATTTATTTTATTTTATGGCAAGAAGATTAAAATACAATTACAAACATCAGTATATTAAAAAAAAACCCTACACGTTAAAAGTCTATTTTATAAATGTTAATTGAGGAAATTTTTTTGTCTTAAGTATTACCTCTTAAACTAACAGGGCTTAGGGTTTGGTGATAACATGTTTTCTGTGAAGCTTCAACAAGTTTTCATCTAAGTAATATAAAATTTTATTCTTTAGGGAAAGGTCCCGGAAAAAGGAGAGGCCCAACAATCAAGATATCTGGAGTTCAGGTTAATGTGAAATCCATTATCCAACATGAAGAAGAGTTTGAGATGCTTCATAAATCTATCCCTGTGGACCCTGAAGAAAAAAAAAAGTGAGTGTTTTGTGTACAGGCGTGGATGATGCACATTGTAGGTTACAATTGGACGTCATCATTGGCTCTTCTTCTAACATTGGAAAGGTCCATTTGTAATGCTTTCCTGTCCTGAAACCTCTGTAGATACTGCCTGACCTGTCGGGTCAAAGCTGCACACTTTGACGTAGAGTGGGGTGTGGAGGATGACTCTCGCCTGCTGCTGGGAATTTATGAACATGGCTATGGAAACTGGGAGTTAATTAAGACAGACCCAGAGCTGAAACTGACGGACAAAGTAAGTAGCTCAGCTAGAGAGTTCTGGAAGATATACTATTTTTATACTGTTAATTTATTTTTAACTCTTCTCGAGAAGGGAGGATCAGATTGGATATTAGTACAGTAGTAAACTTCTGGGATTTCTTCATCCTTGGAAGTGTTACCATCTTTAGTGGACTCTACCAGTGTTTTATGGACAGTAAAGGGAAAGACACTAGCCAGGTGAAATTTTGGGATAATTCTAGGAGAAATCTTAATATTCTCATACTTATGTTAGGTTGGATCTCATTACAACAAATACCAGGGTAAATTTATTTCTGGGCCTTAGTTTTTGGCTGTTTGTTTAATATATTTGAAACAACCATATTTAAGTTCTATACTCAAAGAACGAGCATCACCTTGGTATTTTTGTAGTGGAATTAAATTGTGCTTCTCCCACAAAATCGAGCCTCCCACCCTATCTGTTGCAAGTAACAAGGCCGTGGTTAGAGCTGTAAGCAAGGAAAGCTGACTGACTCAAATTTAGTTGGATTCACTCCATGCTGTGCTCCTAGCAGGGCTCTCCCTGGCACGTCCAAGTATCTCATCCCATCTGGGTTGTAGGAGGGTGACAGCACCCTGCCATGAGCTCTGAGACCAAACCCAGTCTGGCCTGAGCAGTCCAGCTGTGGTAGCAGGGAATGAATCATGTCCTGGCATAGCAGCTCAGTGCTCTCCGGCAATGCTCTAAGAAGCATTTTCAATCTAAAACGAAGCTTTAACCTAGCTCCAGGGATTCCCTGCTCCTGGAAGGAGGAAATCCACGCCGGCTGGGATGCTCTAGCAGATGAAGCCACAAGCCCCTCCTACCTGAGTTGTTCTACCCTGTTAACAGCACAGGTAGGAGCCAGTGGGAGAGCTGGATTTCTCCATCCCATTTTGTAAAATGAGAACGGCTCATGAGGGATTTTCAGTGACTGGGAGCCATGGACATGAGAATAGGATCTGAGGCTTTATCTGTGTTTTGGGTGGTTGGGAGGGGAAAGGACTGTGCTGAGCTCTTTGTTTATTCTGCTCCACTAACCGGGGCTTGGGTGTCGACGGGTGCTTCTCTCCCTTTCCTGTCGAAGATTCTGCCTGTGGAGACAGATAAAAAGCCCCAGGGGAAGCAGCTACAGAACCGAGCGGACTACTTGCTGAAGCTGCTCAGGAAGGGCCTGGAGAAGAAGGGGGCCGTGGCAGGTGGGGAGGAGGTGAGTGCGCTGCAGCCGGGTGTTCTTTCCGGGCGCAGCTGTGTCCCTGCAGGGCTGGGGCGGAAGAGCTGGCCTCTGCTCCCTGCACAGTGTGCTGCCTTGTCATGGTCAGATGCTGCCTTGGAGGCTCCCTAGTGGTGGTTTAGCTGGTAAGAGTGGAAATACTCATTTAATAACTAATCCCAACACCTTGGTACCTTTCTTCCAAACCGCGTTTTCTTCAAATATTGCCTCAAAGTAATCTTTATCTCTCACTACTGACACTAGTCTAGATGTGCTGATGCTGTTTCTGGCCTCCTCAGTTTGAGAACATGATTGTAGTTACTGCATTAAATACCGAAGGATTTGCCTGTTTGTTATAAATGGGCTGCTTGTGATCCTGGATTCCAAGAGTAAGATGGACAGTGGAAAGCCATAGTTTATTTCAGAAACTGGACTTAGTTATGATACCTTACTTGCCCAGTGGAAGACACCAATTGAGTTGCTGATGAATTCATCTGAACTTTATCTCCTTTTATTTCCCCAACTTACTGTTTCAGTTCAGGCCTAGTTCACAGTCAGGAGATACTTTAAGTTGTGTTCTCTACTAGCAGCCTCTGTGCACGCGCCTCAAGTGCTCCTAAGCTCTGTGTCATTTGTGTTAGTTGCCTTGCATTGTAAGTCAAAGCAGTTTCATTTAAAAAGGTCAGCACAGTCCCGTTCCTTGTTGTTTTGCAAGTAATAGTGTCATAAGGTTTTAGTATCATTCTCTAGAGAATATGGTGAATATGTTACATGTTAGGCTCTAGAAAGATAGACTGGATCACTTTATACTTATTTTAGATTACATTATTATATTTGATTGACTAGATAAACAATATTTTGACCTTTTCCTTACGTTTGTTTGGGGTTTTTGTTTTTGTTTTTTTCAGTACCAGGAATCGAACTCAGGACCTTGTGCTTGCCAGGCAGGCGCTTACACCACTGAGCTATATCCCCGGCCCCTGTTTGTTTGTTTTCTGAGACACGATTTTGCTTTGTTGTTTAGACTGGCCCTGAACTCATTGTGTAGTCTAGGCTAGGCTCAAACTCATGGCTGTCCTCCTGCCTCAACCTCCTGTGTGCTGGGATTACAGGTGTGAGCCACTATGCCCAGCTTTTTTCCTTATTTTAAGATGTAGCTTGTTTCTAGGTTTTTCAGTGTATCATCTTTTTTTTTTTTTTTTTTTTTTTTTTTTTTTTTTTTTTTTTTTTTTCTCCGGTACCGGGAACCGAACTCACGACCTTGCGCTTGCCAGGCAGGCACTTTTGCCGCTGAGCTAAATCCCCAGCCCCATCAGTGTATCATCTTTAATGCTATTTTTAATTGTATGTGTATACGTAAAGTGGTTTCCTCCCCTTTTTTGAATTTTAGCTTTAGAATGAGATGGATTTTAGCTTTTAGGATGAGTTTTAGCTTTATTCATGCCACAACACAGAATCAGTAGTTCAGGGAATACAGATTTTTTTATGTGGTTTAGGATAGAGATAGCCCCTACTGGGTGTGCCCCCTTCCACAGATAAATTTGGTTGTACCCTTGATTTCTCTTCTTTGAATTACGTGGGTGCTGACCCTTGTGAGGGTCACAGTGTTTTCTGATTAGTCTCCTCTTCTCCCCAGGCCAAACTGAAGAAAAGGAAGCCTCGGGTAAAGAAGGAAAACAAAGCGCCCAGGCTGAGAGATGAGCATGGCGTTGAGTTTTCGTCTCCCAGACACTCAGATAACCCATCAGAAGAGGGAGAAGTAAAGGTACGAGGCTGGATTTTATTTGAGGATATTGTTACTATTTTTTAGCCCTATTTATTTGGTCAACTGGTATAAAATCCCTTGATGTGTTTGAGTATACTGTGTTCATTTCAGTCAGCCATGTCAAATTCATACATAGTGTCCATGAGTACCGGAAACCATGGAAGTGTGTTAGTGATAAATGGCTGTCAATAGTTAACTTCAATTGTGAGAATGAGGGAGTGGTAGGGAAACTGTGGTTAGCCCAGGAGCTTGTGACTAATAGTAGGGGACAGCTGCTGAGCAGTTTAGCAGGTCCAAACAACAGTTCTCTGTGGGTCAGGTTTGGGCCAGGGTCTATCAGGGTTTTTTTGTTTTGTTTTTTGTTTTGAGACAGGGTCTTGATATGTAGTTCAGGCTGGTCTTGAGCTCCCAATGTAGCCCAGGCTGACCTTGAACTCGCTGCAGCCTCAACTTCTCAAGTGCTGTGGCTGCAGGTGTGGTCCACCACCCCTGGCTCCTACCAGTTTTTAACTGCAGGTCTGAGTTAAGTAAAAAGTAAATTGGTGTTATTGAGTGTGTTGTTTCAGTGAGATGCAAATTTATGCGGCTTTATTTTGTTGCTCTTAATGTATAACTTTGAGATTTGCTCCAAGAGGGTCGGTGTGGGAAGCTATAGGAACTAGCATGGATTTGAGTCTATATATATGAACTCAAATACTAGCAACCTTATCAGTTCTAGCTGACTGGATAGAAATGCAGTCTGCTCAGGCTCAGTCTTTTGTGTCTGTGAAATGGGAATGATAATGCCTTTTCGGGTGGGGTGCAGTGCTGGGGATCAACCTTGGCCTTGCACATGCTAGGCAAGTGCTGTGCCACTGAGCTACACCTGTAACTTCGTAATGCCTGTCTTAAAAGCATTGCTGTGAGAACTGACGGAAGTGACGTAAGTAAAGCACGTCCGCCTGTGCGGGCTTAATTGGTTAGTACTGGAGAGTTGAGACTTGTGCAGGCAGGTGTTGTAACGTTCTGTGTTTGGAAACAAGCGTCTAGACACAGAATGAGCCATTGGGGGCAGTGCTATATTTTCCAGAAAGTAAATAAGTAAATATAAAGTTTATAGGAAAAATTCATAGCCCTATTTGTTTCCTAGGATGATGGCTTAGAAAAAAGTCCAGTGAAAAAAAAGCAGAAGAAGAAAGAGAACAAAGAGAACAAAGAGAAACAAATGAGTTCTAGGAAAGACAAAGAAGGGGACAAAGAAAGGAAGAAGTCAAAAGATAAGAAAGAGAAGGTATTGATGCCATTCTGCTTATGGAGATGCCCGGAGGTTAGAAGTTCCTGTTGAGATAATAGATGCAGAGTGGGGTTGAGTGCCTGGTATAATTGTTGTTTTGTGAGTATACCCAGGAATGATGGGGCTTTGGAGGGCTGCCTGCAGCCTTACTTGCAGAGAGACGGGGACTTTTCCATCTCTGTGGTGTTATTGAGGATGTAAGGCCTTTACTAGATCTTCTACTACGTGTGGGGGAGAGCTGTGATGTTCAGAGTGAGATAGGACAGGTATGTGAATGCCCATGTAGCTCCTTGAAATGTGTTCTTAGATTCATGTTAGAGGAGCACAGTCCACAAATGAATTTGGATATTTATAGGGTTTAGGATTCCAAACAAATACTATCAAGAACTGCTGGAATAGACATAGATGAAAAGCCCTGGTGTTACATAGTCTTTCTGTTGGGAGTCTTAGGAAGTTCATTCCAAGTACAGAATTGCTACAGTGCTGCATGTTTGTTTGCTGGCTTCTAAAAACAAATTTTGCAGTTAAACTTAATCTTTCCTCAAACCAACCAACCAACCAATATCTGGTATAATTCTCCCATCCAATGATAACTCTTGATTTCTTAACGAATAGCTTTGAACATTACTCTGAATGAGTTTAGGTACAAATATAAAATTAAAATAAGATCAGACCAAGTGGCTAGCATTTTCTTCCCACATAGCAGAGTATGGTAAACAACTTTCTAAGTGAATAAATGTAAAAATAATTTTTTAATAGGTGGGTAGGATTTTGTTTTGGTGTAGTATATTGCAAGCAACATAAATCTCCTGTATTGAAATTGCTTTCCAATTTTTATTGTTATAAACCATACCTTTGCATTTATGGTCCTATAGGAAGACATTCTTGCCAGGCATATTGGCTCATAGCTGGAATCCTAGCAGTCTAGAAGACTGAGGCAAATGGATGCCACATTCACCCCAACCTGAGCAACTTAGCGAGACACTGTCTGAAGAACATAAAAAGCAAAATGGCTCAGTGCAGAGGCCCTGGGTTCAATCCCTAGTACTTGCTTTACCCATCACCCCACACCCCCAAATTCTTTTTTTTTAAAGTAAAATATTTGAGCAATGAAGGCACAAAAACAGTTTAGCAAATACTTAGTATTTTTTTTTTTTTTTTTTTTTTCTCCGGTACCAGGAACCGAACTCATGACCTTGCCCTTGCCAGGCAGGCGCTTTTGCCACTGAGCTAAATCCCCAGCCCCAATACTTAGTATTTACTGCTCCAGTATCACAACTGTTCGCATTTTTTTCCTATTTACTTCAGCTGGCTTTTTTGCTGATTTATGTATTTTGTGTCTCATAAACACATTACTATCTCTTTGAGCACTCTCATCATATTACTGCTCTTTCCTGATGGCACCTCGGCCTCCTTCTCCTCACCCACCTCTCCGAAGTTGATGTGACACCTTCCTATCTGTGGTTCATGCTTATAAATTCCTATTATATAACCACAAAGAGTGCTATATGCTGTGTATGTTTTTAAATGTTCTTACATGAAATTGTTGTGTATATACTTCTGCAACCTTTTATTCTGTGTAGTTTTAAGACTTATCAATGTTGATTCATGTAGCTTTCACTCATTTACAATAATTTAGTTCATACTACAAATTCCTAGATCAAGGGTAAGCTGTTAATAAAAACAGCTACGTGATACACTGGAAGTTCTGTCAGTTTGCCAGTTAATGTCTTGGTGACATTTTTTTTTGCATTTTCTAGGTGAAAGAATAGAAGCCCCAAAGATAGTGTTGATGAAATGGAAGTTACAGTTAGGTACATTTAGAACAGAAATGGGAACAGTGTATGAGTAAACTATTAATCTCATAGGCTTGTATAAAGTAAAGCTTTCATACTTACCCTCTGTAATAGCGCAACATAGGTAAAAAGTAGAGACTGCAAGGCAAGACTGCATAAGTGACAATGATTCCTTTTGACTCTTCTTTAAAAAAGCCTAAAGGTGGTGATGCCAAATCTTCAAATAAATCAAAGCGATCTCAGGGTCCTGTCCATATTACAGCAGGAAGTGAACCTGTCCCTATCGGAGAGGATGAAGATGATGATCTCGACCAGGAGACCTTCAGTATTGTAAGTCTGAAACTTGAGCATGCTGGTATCTGCGCCCTGGCGCTTGCTGGGCTGCTGCCCCTCGTAGATGTAGCCAGAGCGTCAGGTGATGAGAGCATTGGTATATTTTTTTTGAATCATATCACCTCTGGTGCCTAAAGACTGTTCTAAACCAGGCTGGGCGAAAGAGATTTTCTTATATGTTCTCTAGTGAGAAGCAGTTTGGGGACCTGATTTCATGCTCTGTGTTCGCAGTTGGAAAGTTGTTTTTTTTTTTTTTTTTTTTTTTTTTTTTTTTTTTTTCTCCGGTACTGGGAACCGAACTCACGACCTTGCGCTTGCCAGGCAGGCGCTTTGCCGCTAAGCTAAATCCCCAGCCCCGCAGTTGGAAAGTTTGTAGGGGCCCTCAGAGGCATTTTGGAATCGAGTATTCACGGAGCTAACATATACTGGATGCTGTCTGTGCCAGCCCCCAGAGTTACCATGCTGAACAGAAGTAAACTACCTTTCAGACTTGCCGGTTGAGCAGGAGTGATAGCTAAGTGCACGAATCATGGTGGTGCGCCTGTGAAGAAACTGTGAAGGAAGGGGTCCTGGGAGAAGGGGATTGACCTAGTCACAAGTGTCAGGAAGGCTTAAGGGAGTCACGGGAGAAGAGGGCAGCAAGAATAAGCCAAGGCCAGGCAGCAGCCTGCACGAAGGCTGTGTGGCAGGAGCACGTACGCACTACGGAACATTTGAGATGACACGAAACTTCTATAGCTAGAGTGGCAGGAGCCAGGCCAGCTGACACAGGGCCTTGGCTGAGTGTGTAAGAGCAGTAGTGAGCATGTGCTGGTGCTAAGAGCGGAGACACGCCTGCGAAATGTGGCTCTATTTCCTCATTAGATGATCACCAAGATGATGGGGAGAGGGCGCAGAGTCTAAGTCGGCTTGGGTTTGGATAAGACCCTACAGCATGTCTTTGGGGCCCCTTTGCCCTTTACTGGAGCTGTGTGCGTAGATTTCATTGTGTTGCAGTCCTTCTTGGCCTTCCCACCCCTCCGTGTTCTCTTCTGCCCAAACTTCCTAAGATCACAGTTCACTGAACAGCACATTCAGGCTAAAAGAGAAAGTGTCTTCTTCTGAACTGGACAATGCTTATGCCTGGGGCACCAAGCAATAGAGTGTTGACCCTGTCCTGTGAAGTAGTCTTCTGTCTCTTGGCTTCCTTCTCCGTATTTTCTAAAACCTACATGCTGTGTGTGTATATTTCTTTCTTTGTGGTTATCTTCGTTTTTGCAGTTCTCTTTTCTGCCTAGGAGCTTTCTGAGGGCAAGTATTAGGCTCTGTAGGTAGTCCCTTTAGATGCTAGAAGTATGTCATTGAGTGAATTGAGTAAATGAGTAAATTTGTTACATAGCCAGCTGTCCGATCTGTTTCCCAGTTCCTCCTTAGCTCATTGTTTATATAAGAAAATAATACCCGATATTTCTATGGCATCATTTTGAAAAACGTAAATATTTATAAACCAGGCACTTTAGCATGTGCACACAGTCCCAGCTACTCAGGAAGCTGAGGTAGGAGGATTGTACTTGATACTTGAGCTCAGGAGTTTGAAACCAGCCTGGGTAACATGGCAAGGACTTGTCTCAGTCAATCAATACAGGCTCATTTAATCTTGTTTGTTTTTTAGTGAAATCTTTAAAGAACGTAAATGAATTTCAGGAATGTAATAGGCGTTGGTATAGATACTGTGAAGCTTTGTCATGTCTGAAATTTTCATTACTGTATATAAAGTTGAAACCTCTGGTATTTCTTATTCTAAACCCATTTTTTGGGGGGGCTGGGGATATAGCTCAGTGGCATAAGCGCCTGCCTGGCAAGCGCGAGGTTGTGAGTTCGCTCCCTGTGACGGCCAAAAAAAAAACCCCATTTCTTTCCTTTTTTACCTCCCAGAAGTAACCGTTACTCTGAATTGGATTTTTATGCTTATATGTCCTTTAGAATTTTACTACCTGATAGCTCACATAAACAGCCAGGCACTGTTTGTGTGCTTTAGGTGTGCACAGCAGCTCTTACGGTAGCTCATCTTCCCTTTACATATTAAAAACTTAAGAGGGAAGTTTGAGTCTTTAACCACTGTGCCACACAGCCTCCCATGTCTCAATAAACAAGAACTAGCGCTGCTTCCTATATTTTAAAACTATATAAATGGTATCCTCCTGGTAACCCGTAACTTGCTTCCCCCTCACATTTTTGAGATTTAGCAAGTTTATAGTACTCATGGCTGTGATTTAAATACTTTGTGTTACTCTATTTTATGACTTCCATAATTCATCCTTATTTCTTTAGATAGACATTGGCATTTTCCCAATACTTATGAGCACAAATAGGCTGCAGTGAGATTATTTGTGGTATTTTCTTGTGCACACATATGTACTGTACAGAGAGGCTTCTGTACAGCATGTGACTGGTCCAGAACTGCTAGGTCATCCATAGGGTATGCACATCTACCACTTCCTTACATGCTGTTGAATCACCTTCCAAAACAGTTACAGAAATTTGCACTCCTAGCAATGAATTTCACGTTGTTGCTTCCCACTGTTACAAACAGTTGAAAATTTCTGAAGTTTTACCTTTGTGAAGGCTATGAAATACTGATTGGTGTAGTTGAACATTTATTTTCATATTTATTGGATATTCATATTTCCAGTGACTTGCCTCTTTATATGCTTAGCCTGTTTTGGGTAATTTACCTTTCTTTTTTTCCTTTTCTTTGAGACATGGTCTTGTTATGTAGTTCAGGCTGTTCTTGAACTCACTGTGTAGCCTAGGCTGGTCTCAAACTTGCAGTGATCCTCCTGCTTTAGCCTCCCGAGTACTGGAATTACAGGCATGTGCCACTGTGCGTGGCAGTTTATCTTTTCTTCCTGTAGGAATCCCTTATACACCCTTTTATTACAGTCATTTGCAGGTATCTTCCAGTTTATGGAATGTCTTTATTTTTAATCTTTTTTTATACTTCAAATTTAACACTGAAAAATGCACAGATCATAAATATGTAGCTTTGTGGAAATTTCCACAAAATGATAGAAATTTGTAGGGTTTTCATTGTTATAAAACTTCATGATCATGTGTGCTAGTTGATTGTGCTAGGTACCCAGTGGCTGAGTATCCTACAATTCTGAGAAATTTTCTTGGATTATTTTGTGATACTTATGTCTCCTTTCAGTCCTCAGTTTTATCTTTATGGAATTCCTTGTTTTAGGGTGTTAGACTCTGGATATTGGTCTCTAACTTTGTATTTTTAAACTTTCCACTGTGTTTTTTACTTTCTGGGAGGTTCCCTCAAATTTGTTTCCCCTTCTGAATTTTTCATTTCTTCTGTCATGTTTTGTTTCCAAGATCTTTCCCTGTCTGTAGTTCTCTCAGTGGTTTTTATGCTTCTCTTTGTTTTCTGTTATTCATGTTAGACACTTCCTCACCTGGCTTTGGTAGTCCGCGGCTGTCTCGTAGCTAAGCATTTGGGACTGCACATCTGTTTGGAAGCACAAATCCTGTGGGTAGGGCTTTGAATGCTTTCACTTTAGGGGGAATTTGGCTGAAGTTCTTCATGGAGAAACTTCCAGTGAACCAGAGTCAACATTTTTGGTTCATCTTCTGGGATTGTCAAATTTTGTGAACTTTCTCTTGATCTGCTAACTGGAGAGTGAAGGTCTGGCTTGCTTGGTTGTGGAATCTGAGTCAGAATACTGGTGGTAGTTCATGCAGTAAGCATTTGTTCGTATAGTCCTCTTTTCACCTTTGTGTCCTTGCCCTTTACCCGTGCACCCAACCAGCTCAGAGCTGTTTCTTTTGTCCTTTCTAGAGAATCTGCCTTCCTATCTGTTGCTGAGTGCAGTTATAGGTGGCCCATGTCGGTTATGAATCTAGGTATCTGTTACTTGTGAAGCAATGTTTAAACCAGTCTCTATGGTAACCCTCATCTGTACTTCCAGAAACGTCTGGCCTTTCAGGGAATTTTATAGCACAGATCAGGTTGGTTCTATACCGACTATAATGCTGGTGTAGGAGTTCATTTTCTCAGGTCTGTTAAGTCATTTTCCATGTTGCTAGGTACTTTGTTGCTGTTATTGTTTTGATGGGGTTGAGAAGAGAAAGATTGTTATGCTCAGTGTACCGTCTTTTATCTGTAAGCCTTTTCTTTACTGTCTTTCAAGCCCAAAAATTTGTTAGTGTTTCACCCTGCGTACAGTGTTTAGCTAGTTAATGGTGGGAGTTAGGCCTTTAATATTATTTCCCATTTGATCTTCATAACTGCCTTGTGAGGCATTACAGTGCCCCTCATGCAGATGAGGAAACAGCATTTAAGAATCTGAGGGGTTGGGCTGGGGATACAGCTCAGCGGCATAGAGCCTGCCTGGCAAGTGTAAGGTCCTGAGTTCAAGTCCTGGTACCAAAAAAAAAAAAAAAAAAGAATCTGAGGGGTCATCATGTAACTCCAAGTGATGACGCTGGCACTTGCATGTCAGTTTTCTGAGGCTAATACTGTACTTGTTCCGTTCCGCAGACCTTACCTTCTAACCACTGTAGTGATTTTGTGGCACAGGGGGTGGCTGTGTTTTCTCTGGGCGTGGGTGATTAGCACATGCTATACACAGGGGAAGGCTTCTTTCACGCAAATGGCTTACATCTGTGTTTGTTGGTCTGTTCCAGTGTAAGGAGAGGATGAGGCCCGTGAAAAAGGCACTGAAACAGCTGGACAAACCTGACAAGGGACTTAACGTACAAGAACAGCTTGAACACACACGGAGCTGCCTGCTCAAAATTGGAGACCGGATAGCCGAGTGCCTTAAAGCCTACTCAGACCAGGAGCACATCAAACTGTGGAGGAGGTAACTGACCTTGGCCTCCCATCTGCCCAGTCTGATTTGACTGTGTTCGGGTGGGTTTTGTTTAATAAGAGGTGGCAGAGCTACCTAATGAAAATCTTTTTCCTAACAGAATTCATCTGTTATTAGCACCTGTAGGCTTCAACTTTTTTTTCATGAAATAGGCTGTTTCACTGGGACCAATCTTTTGAAGGGGCAGGATGATGTTGTTAATGTCAGAAAGAGTGATGCTGGTTTTGTGGCTGTTTTAGAAGACGCTCTTTAAATGTGTTAAGGGAAAGAAATGATCTAGTATAACTACTTACCCACTTCAGGTTGGTATTCAAATATTAAGCTAGGCGTGGTGGTGCATGCCTGTAATCCCAGAACTCGAGAGGCTGAGGCAGGAGGACCGTTGCGAGTTTGAGACCAGCCTAGGCTACAAAGTGAGCTCAAAGCCAGCCTGATCTGTGTAGCAAGACCGTGTCTCAAAAAGAAAAAAAATATTATACCTACTACAACTAATTGGATGATTCTGTACCAATACATAAAGTAAAACAGAGGTTAAAACTACAAAGAACTATCAGTTCCCTATTCTTACCTTCTTCCTTAATGGTTAAAAAACTTTGGTAGACAATTGGATCAAAGTACGTTAGCGTGTAAGGCATAGTTTTTATATATGTTTGTATATAAACAGTTACAGTGTTGTGTATCTGAGATCCTTGGGAACAGACCTGTTCCAGATTTTAGAATATTTATTTCTGTTTAACGACATATCTTTGGGGATGGGATCTGAGTCTGAACAGAATTCATTTATATCTCATACATGTGTTACACACATGGCTCGACAGTACCCCATCACGTGAAGTCAGGTGTGGAATTTCCCACTTTTGCTGTCAAGTTAGCATTTCTGTGTCTCAAGATTTCACTTTTGACCCTTAAGTCAATCTCACTTTTGATATTTTGAGATGCTCAATCTCACTTGTGATATTTTGAGAAGACATGACTGGCATTTTTATTTTATTTTATTTATTTATTTATTTTTTGGGGGGTTTTTCTCTGGTACCGGGAACTGAACTCACGACCTTGCGCTTGCCAGGCAGGTGCTTTTTGCCGCTGAGCTAAATCCCCAGCCCCATGACTGGCATTTTTAAAAAACAGTTGTAACATTAAGTCTCTTTCCAAAAAACTCAGCTACTTTGAACCTGTGCGCTTTATGTTTAGTGTAATTACCTTCCTTCATCCAGCGCAGGTGGATATTAATTTATTTAAATTGTGGTCTCGTTATGTAGCACAGGCTGGCCTTGCAGTCAAGATCCTGTTGCCCCATCCTCCCAAGGGCTGGGATTATAGGCATGCACCACCACACCCAGATTTTTTTTTTTTTTTTTTTGGTACTGGGTGATTTTGTACTGGATTTTTTGTACTGGGGAATCGAACTCAGGACATTGCGCTTGCCAGGCAGGCGCTTATCCCACTGAGCTGTATCCCCAGCCCCCCAGATTGGTTTTTTAAATGAAAAATGGATATAAGAAAAGATGTCTGTATCTGTCATGAGGCTTCTTCCATGAAGCTGTCTTTAGTATGTGTCATACCCATCAGTAAAAGTCTTTGAAATGTTACTTCTTTTCTTCTTAACACTGTTAGTAACTTCTTCCTTTACCTAGACCATAGGGCTTCCTTTTTACCTAATAGAAGATAGCAAATACCACCCTAGTGCATAGATTTATGAAACGAGACTTCCTAATGTGCACTTGGATCTGCCTGTTTGACCCACCTGGGATCTACCCCAGGCACTACATTTGGCTTTGGCTGTGATACTTGATCTTGGCTAGCAGTAGTTCATAAGAAAGATCTTAAGGGTCAAAAACAGTATAAGGCAAGACTTCTGGGAGACTGTCCACCATAAAGTGCTAAATACAAGATCAAATACAGAACTTCTAAGAAGAAGATGGCTATAGAAGGGTAGGCAGGGAGGGAAATCTTCTGAGAGGCAAGCAGTTACACTTGAGCTGCTCGTAGACAAGCTGGTGGAACTGCCTGCATCAGCATGTTCTCAGGTTTCAGCAAAGGCCTGAAAGTAGTACATGGCACATGCCTGTAGTCATAGCACCCAGGAGGCAGAGACAGGAGGGTTTGAAAGTTGGAGGACACCCTAGGCTACAGAGTGAGTTCAAGGCTTGTATAACTTACATGGTAAGACTCTGTTTCTTAAAAAAAAATACAAACCTTCAACCCCCCTCCCTAAGGAAGGAAGAGAGGGAGAGAGGGAGGGACAGTGACATTGAAAGGGCTTAAAGGCAATTTGTTCAAAAGACTGTCTATTTATAGGAGGCCTTGGAAAGCAAAGCAAATGGCTTGGCACCTGACACAGTAGGTTTATAGTTAGGGAGCCTGTATAGGTGTTCTGTCGAGAGTATATATGGAGAAACTGCCCACTGGGAAGCTTGGGGTGGTAGGAGACTCTGCCACTCTCTGTACCTCCACGTGCCTCTTTCTGAATACTTATTTGACTCTATACCTTCCCTGCGTGCAGTGATGCCAGTAGGGAGAACACGATGGCATTAGAAGGAGCCACTGAGAATCTGAGAGAGAAGTCCAGGCTCTGGTGGTGATAATGGGGAGGAAAGAAGTGCGACACCACAGAGGTGACGGCTAAATTGAGGTCCCAGCCTCTGAGACAGTGGTGAAGATGGGTTCTGTGGGTGAGTCCAGAAAGCAGGGTCAGTGGAGGAAAACTCACAGGACTACAGCAGTGGATGCCATTGATGCAAATTAGGGTGGCTTAACCATTGACAGCACCCTCGTCTCAAGACCTCTTAATTGGGGCTGGGGATGTAGCTCAATAGCACAGTGCCTGCCTGGCAAGTGCAAGGTTGTGAGTTTGATTCCCGGTACTGGGAGAAAAATAACAACAAAAAAAAGACCTCTTAATCAAATTCTTTTGATAGAAGCATAAAAGGTGCATTATTGATGCAGAAACTTGAGAATATTTCTATAACTTCAGTTTCTACACTTGGAGTGTATGCCACAGCAAAATTTAGTAGCTTGGCATGCATAAAGTGAATAAAAAAATTACCATGCTAATTCTCTAATTTACCAGGACTGTGACTTTTTTTTTTTTTTTTTTTTTAGAAACCTATGGATTTTTGTTTCTAAGTTTACAGAATTTGATGCTCGAAAACTACATAAGTTATATAAGATGGCTCATAAGAAAAGATCTCAAGAGGAGGAGGTAAAATACAGATTTAATCCTACTTATTGGTTTTCCAGGAGTAGGGATGGTCATAGGACATGGGTGGTTGCTGGTTGATTTACAGATGGAGGAGCAGGCCCAGGTGGGGTAGTGGGTGTGGTCTGCAGCCCATCTTATCTTCCTTCTATGGTGTGCTCCTGCACCACTTTAACTGCACAGTCTCCACTAGTGCACCTGTACTCAGACGGCAAGACTGCTGCTTATTGGGTAAAATTAGAAATGCATTAGAGCCAGTGTTTTTAAATCCTGAGAAGGATTCATTACCTTATGTTCTTGTATCCTGGGGCCATTTATTCCCTATGCCGCCGACTCTTCTATGTGCACGGGACTTATGGTAGTTTGACAAGGTGGCTGCTAATAGGAAACAAGATTGTGGGTAGAAAATAGTTTTCATGTTCTTTTGTGGGACATGTACTTGGTGTCCCACATGTTTGTATTTAGAGGGGTCCCAGCTGCTCCCAAAAGGAGCAAACATGAGAAGGCTCCCAGAGCCCAGAGCTACCACTCCTGTGAAGTATGGGGTGGGTGCCACAGTGGCTTGCTGCAGAGCCAGTGTTCCTTCACAGCACGCCTGGCTGCAGATCTGCTGACTTGCTGTGTGGGCCCCACAGAACACCCATTTAGGGGCAGTCCGAGAACACTGATGTGTCAGCTCTGTGAAGGCGGAGATTCTGTGTTTGTTATCCACTGCTGCGGCCTTAGTGCCTGCAGTGGTGCCAGAGACAGGATCAGCACTCAGATGTATTTACTGTGTGAACTTAGGCTGTGCCCAGTGCTCTGCTGGCCTAGGAAGCAGTATCCTCAAGTTGTTTACAGTTTAATTTTACATAGTATCATCTAGGAATAATGTACTAATATTACTGTTAGTTCAAATTTATACATTATAAATGTCTGTAAAAGAAATCAGGCGAGGCCAGGAAAGAGAACAAAATGGTTGGGAAAGAGCTTTAGACAGGAGTGAAAGTTTGGATAAAGGCCTGACTTCGGGGGGCGTAATGATAAAGAGCTTCATTAATTATCAAATGTTTGTATCATTTAAAAAATAGTGATATCCTACTATTAGGAATATAAATTACCATATTTTTGGAGGACAGTTGTAGAAATAGTTCAAAAGAGAACATATAATTCTGCTTTTACCAGTTTAGTTCAAGGGGATAGTTAAGGATTTAAATGTCCTTATGATGGAAATGATTTGGAAGGCTAATAAGAAATAGGTTAGATTGTGATATACCCATATGGGAGTAATATTTAACCATTAAATGTAATATTGTAGAAATAACTGTGTGTATGGGATGATTTTTGCAAATACTAAGTGAAAAAAGAATATGAAATAATATTTTTGTATTATAATTGATATAAATATACAAGAAAGCTTAGAAAAATAAGAACCTAATTATTAACAGTCATTTCCTTGGTGATTAGATTTTAGGAGACTTTACATTTCTGTTTTTTTATTTTTTATATTGAACATTTTACTTGTGTAATAAAAGAATAAAGTTATTCCAGCCATTTGATCTTTAGTATGATGACTTTAGTGTGGGAACTACTTGTCTTACTAAGCATCAGGGCTTGTTCTGGGTGGCCTGGGAAAGTCTCCAGTCCTGGTTTTGCCGTGGTCCAAGATGGTCCTGGGAGAGTGCTGACAGCCTGGTCACTTGTGCCACACCATGTGCAGGGGCACTTGCCAGTCCTGCCTGTGTTCTCACCAGAACTTACCAGTGGAGGCTGGTTTTCCTGCTAGGACCTAGTAAGTTAAACTCACCTAATGGATAGCTATTAGGTTTAAGACTCATTGGAAGTGACAAACGTATCTTGTTAAGAAGGTAGTAAAGCTCAGGTCAGAAGACGAGAACAAGAGGGGAATTTTTAGAGGTGAGGATCTTTATTCTGTACTTGAGAATTAAGCGTGGGATCTTGGAACTTCTTTGGTTTTCCTTTACAGGAGCAAAAGAAGAAAGATGACATGATTGGCGGTAAAAAACCATTTCGACCGGAGGCCTCAAGTTCAAGTCGGGATTCTCTGATATCTCAGTCTCATACCTCTCACAGCCTTCACCCTCAGAAGCCTCATTTGCCTGCCTCCCATGGCCCACAAATGCATGGACACCCAAGAGATAACTACAATCACCCCAACAAAAGACACTTTAGTAATGCAGGTAGGCCATTAAGTGGAGCTTTAAAAGAAGTGCCCAAAAAACCCAGTCATTTCATTTTCCAAAGATCACAGCTGGACCTTTGTGCTTTATTCATCTCCAAGACTTTATTGTCCTCTCTTTCTTGGTGAGATAAAGCATGAAATAAAGATCCAAAAGACTCCAACTTTAAGAAGAACATAGCTACCATAAATAAAAGACATTGTAGACGTAGGGAAAAGTGTATATTCTGTGATAGGTAAATGGTTAAAAATGCTTATATAAAGAAGCCTTGTTAAGTTGGTGACAAAAATATAGCCAAATAGAGAAATGAGGAAAGAAGAATGAACAGAGTGAAGAGACAACCTACACAGTGAGAGGAGATAAAAACCATACGTCTGATAAAGGGTTAACATCCAAAGGGTATCAGGAACTCAGTAGTAAGAAAATAACCTGATTAAAAATTGGGCAAGCACCTGGATAGCATTTCTCAAAAAGAGGTGGTAAGAGGAGAGTTGTGAGATGTTCTGAGTTACAGGCAGAGGATGAAGGGAGGAAAGAGATAGGCAAAGATGCTTTTACCTCACAGCTTCAAGCTTATCAACGAAGAACAGTAAAACAGCTGCTCCACATTCTTTCCTGTATGCTGAAGAGTGTGCTTCAAGGCCATTCATACTCTGTTTTTGGAACCAAGCAATCAGTCAACAAAGAAGCAGCAAATACTTCTCTTTATGGACCAACCTCCTGTGCCAGGACTTTGCCCACTTGCTGTTGTCCTGCTCCTCCTACCTGTAACCAGTGCAGTTCAGTGCAAACATTCTCTCCTCCCAGAATCCTATTTTAAAACATCCTAGCCCCATGGGTCCAGTGAACCTTCCCAGCTGCTGTCTGGCCATGCTGCTGGTGGCTTAGAGAATTTGTCCCAGGACGGGCCCTTTGACCTTTTGGCTAGCATCTGTACAGCTCACATAACCCTTTCCTTCAGATAGCTCTTAATTTCCGAAATTTTATTTAATACAAGGCATACCAATGGCCAAGAAGTGTATAAAAAATGCTCAATATCACTGTTTAAGAAAATACAAATTAAAACTGACATGTCACCTTAACCTATTAGGACGGCCATTATCAAAATGATTATAAGAGTTGGCAAGGATGTGGAAAAAGGTAACCCTTGCAGTTCATGGGAATTTAAATTGGTACGGCCATTATAGAAAAGAGTGTGGGGGTTGTTAACAAAACTGAAACTTGAACTACCATATGACCCACATATCTCACTACTAGGTATATATCCAGAGGAAATGAAATCAGTACAAGGGGTGATCAAAGAATACGGGGAATGTGTTTGTAAAATCTATTACCGTAAAAGACACATTGCTGTCAGTCTTCTTCAAAATATAGCCCCTCTCCAAGAATACGTTTATCCTGTTGTCACTTCCTGAAGCAGTTCTGGAAGCCCTCTTTCATGTCTGTGAGTTGTGATAAAAATATGAACACTGCTGGTGCGTGCCATCCAATGGGAAGGCAGGTTTGTAAAAATAGTATGGTGTGTCTTCCTCTACCTTCTTTACCAGATCTGGCGTTGTGGCTCTTCCCCCAAATAAAAAAGATCGTGAAAGATAAATGTTTTGAGTTGATTCAGGACGTTGAGGCAGCTACAACAATACAACTAAAGACACAAGTATTTTTGAGGGGGGTTAATGGCAATGTGTCTTTTGCTATAATTTTTTTGAACAAAACAAAACAAAACAAAAAACTATGGCTTTTGATCATACCATGTATATTGAAGAGATTTCTGCATTCCTGTGTTTATTGTAGCATGTTTATGTACAATTTAAGATATGGAATCAACCCAACTGTCCACCAACAAATGAGCAGATAAAGAAAACGTGGCATATGTACATGGTGGAATACTGTGTGGCGAGAATGAAATCCTAGCTGGGTGTTGTGGTAGTCCCAATACTCAGGAGGCTGAGGCAGGAGGATTGCTGTGAGTTTAAGGCCAGCCTGGACTACATAGTGAGTTCAAGGCCAGCCTGAACTGCACAGTGAGACCCTGTCTCAAAAAAAAAAGAGAGAGAAAGAAATCCTGCCATTTATAACAGTGTGGATGAACCTGGAGCACTTTATGCTCAGGCCTAGAAAGGAGGCATAGAAAGACGGAGACTGTGTGATTTCACGTGTAGAGAGAATCTTAAAAGTTGAATTAGTGGTAGAACAGTGGTGACCAGGTGCTGAAGAGCCAGGGTGGATTTGGAGGAAATGATGGTCAAAGAATACAAAATCTCAGTTAAACGTGCAGAATAAATTCGAGAGGTTAGTTGTATAGATGGTGACTGTCGTTAATAGCAGTGTGTTATCTTCTTACAAAACCACTGAGAGATGTCGATGACCTCACCACAGAAAATAAGTATGAAAATGATGCATATCAGCTGGATGAAACTTAACCACTCCTGACTACACACATTGCAAAACATGTTGTACATGATATATATATTTTGTTAAATACTTTTTAAAAAATTGTTTTTATGAAACAATACAATAAATAGATGGAATTAAAGTTTTGGAGATTTGATTAGGAAAAGAGTAAATTCAGTAGAGCGTGGCCATTGTAAAAAAAAAAAAAATGGACAAAGTTTAGGGATAGAGAATTCCGTTAGAAGAGAAAGCTCAAACTGCCAAAATGACTGACCTTGTTAGTAAGGAAGTATTAATTAAAGCAAGAATAATTTTAGCAGGTTTTTTTTTTACCCATTCAGATTAGCAAAAAGATGAAAAAGGAAAAGTCCATATTGTTTGCTAAGAGTAGGAATACATTTGAGTAGGAATTGTTACAGTCTTTCTAGAAAATTATCTGATATATCTAATTACATAGGCCTTTGACTGCAGTAAGCCGTTTGGGTACCTGTGGAAAGCAAAAGTTGTAACAGAATAAGCTGGCTTTTTAAATTAAAAAAAGTCGCAAAGATAAGCAGTGGTGAAGATTAAAGTCCGTGTGTGCATGTGTGTGTGTTAGTGCATACTTTCAGGTTTATTGAGGTGAAATTCACCATTTCTAAAAGAACCATTCAGTGTTACTAGTGAACATTGGAAATGTCACACAGCCACCAGTATCTAGTTCCAAAATTTCTCTGTCACCCTAAATGCAAATCCTATACCATTAAGCAGTCTCTTCCCACTTCCCATCCCTCTAAACCCTCAACTACCAGTTTGTATCCACCTCTGCGGGTTAGCCCATTTTGAATATCTCCTATAAACTCTGTGCAACCTGTGACTGTCTTCTTAATCTTAGCATGCTTTTAAGGTTCACCCACATTGTAGCATGTGTCAGTACTCTGTTTCTTTTTATGGCAGGAGAATATTCCATTGTATAGCTATATCATGTTTTATTTATTCATTGATGGACATTTGGATTGTTTGAACTTCAAACAGGTAAAATTAATATAGACGTTTCTGTGAGAATATTTTAAGTGTGTGGTATGTGTTTCATTGTGCTGGAGATTGAACCCAGGGCTTCATTCATGCTCTACCATTGGGTTACATCCTCAGCCCTGGGTACTTCTGTTTTAGGTACATACCCTGGAGTGGAGTTGCTGGTTCACATGATAATTCTGTTTGGCTTTCATGGAAGCATCAAACTAGTTTCCACAGTTTATATTTGAATAATATATTTGAGCATCAGAAAGATGTGAAAACACATACATCTGACTTTTTTGTTTTGAGACAGGGTTTCACCAGGCAATTCAGACTGGCCTTGAACTCACTTTGTAGCGCAGGCTTGAACTCACAGTGATCCTTCTGCCTCTACTTCCTGGGTGCTAGGATTATAGGCATGCACCACCACACATGGCTAACCCTTAATAACCATTACCTTAGGCTGGTAATAGAGGGTGATGGATTGAAGAAGTTAGTGGACTTACCTACTGCCTATTGCTTCACAATGAGCTTGAATTACTTTTAAAGATAAAAAAAAGAAAGGGGAAAATACAGAATAAGATTTAAAAAGTTGGCCTCAGGTTGGATATGGTGGCACATGCCTATAATCCCGGTACTTGGGAGGCTGAGGTAGGAGGGTGATCACAAGTTCAAGGCCAACCTGGGATACATAATGAGTTTGAAGCCAGTCTGAACTATATGATGAGACCCTCTCTCAACAAAACCAAACTCCGCTTCAAACATAGTATAAAATTTATTTTACAGAGATTCAAATATTCCATAACAAAATACATTTCTTTCTAGACTTCAGTTCTGAAAGTTTTTAAAAAACATTAGGCTGTGTGGTGGCACATGCCTGTAATCCCAGCACCCAGGAGGCTGAGGCAGGAGTATTGCTGCGAGTTCGAGACCAGCCTGGGCTACAGAGTGAGCTCAAGGCCAGCCTGAACTGCATAGTGAGACCCTGTCTCAGAAAGACAAAAAACAAAAACTACATAGAAGTCTTCTGATAAAATTCTCAAGATGTTCGAAAAAAATCCATTTTCTCCATCTTTTCAAAAGCAATTAGTTATTTTAAGTCTTTAATGCCCCCAACCCCTTTAATAGCTAATAAATTTGAGTTTTGCTATTGTATGATTTTTTCCTCCATCTTCGTTTTTGTTCACAACAGAGTTTTCCATTGCCGTGCTCAGTGAGTTTTGCTTAAATAGGAAACATGGTGTTTCACAGCTTGGGGAAACTTTAGATGGTGGCTCCTGCCCTGAGCACACAGAGCGTGAGCTGCTCTCTTAGCCTGGCTCCTCTTGGGCTCACTGCTGTCCTGGGCCTCAGCCAGTCCTCCTGCACAGCTCCCCCTCTGGTCTGTGTCTCTTCCGCACGGTGCGACTGTCCCCAGACTGCTTTTCAGAGGTTCAACAAATGCTATAGGCGGATCTGGCCCTGTGTTCGAAGACACGCACGCACACGGAGCCCCCTGCCAAAGCTCTGCTGGTGTTTCATCCCATCAGCCGTGGTCTTCCTGCTGAAGGCCCAGATGTTTCTTAACCTCTGTGCTCCGAATCACAAAGCTCTTACGTCACTCCTGTACAGGATGATTGAGAGATATATCCATGTTCTTAGGTCCAGTCATACTAGATATACTTACCTTTTGATACTAGGCTGGTTTTGCGTTATTGTATGATGTTACTTACTTGTATTCTGAATCTTTCAAAAAGAACTTCCTATTTAGGTTACAGCATTCTTCGACGTAAATCTTGGATTTCTTACCTAGCCCTTTAACGTGTTCAGGATGGGAGTGTATTTCGCATGTCTTGCTGCCAGGCAGTTTGAACCACTGGTGTGGTACATTCATGACTGTATCACTTCTACCTCCAGTGTTACAGGCTGCCTGATGGGACAGTCACACCTGTACCACTGATGGTTCAAGCTGGTCGGAATGTGTTAGTAGCTCAGTACTCTCTAACCTGTGACCTACCTAAAGAGAGTTGAAGAAGAAGAAAAAACAGTGTGATTTATTCTGGAAATAAATGACTTGGTTTGAGTTGTAGGCACCTATACTATACCACAGACTTTAACATTGAAATATTTCCATTTGATTTGAAGCTGTCTTCAAACAATCCTTACATGTTGCAGTTTTTTTGTTGTTAATTTTTTTAAGTTGAATAGTTGGAAGTTTTGTGCTCAACAATAAACTTAAATCACTGGTTGACAGTACATTATATTAATAGATCAGTGTATGAGAACTGCATGCATTCTCTGATGGCATAGCTTGGCTGTGTAAAAAAATGAGTAGCCATCAAAAAATAAAATTAAAAAAACCCTACACAAATAAGCTAGGTGTGGTGGCACACGCCTGTAATCCCAGCACTCAGGAGGCTGAGGCAGGAGGATTGTTGTGAACTCAAGACCAGCCTGAGCTACAAAGTGAGTTCAAGGCCAGCTTGAACTACATAGTGAGACCCTGTCTCAAAAAGACCAAAAAAAAAAAAAAAAAAGAGTAGTCATGTTGATTGGGTGGCTTGTTTTTGACCTTGACAAAGGAAGGTACAAGATGAATTTTCCATGACTCCGCATAGTTCCTTCTCATTAATTCCCAGTATTTCTTGGGCTGCATAAAGTAAAGTTCCTTGAATTGGGTAGCTTAATGCTTCATATTCTGGGTCAGACATCTGCAGTGGAAGTGTCAGCAGAGTAGGTTCCTTCTGGGGCTCTGAGGCAGTCTGTTGCAGTGCTTGTCTTCTGTCTTACTGTAGTGCTGGGCTTTCCTGGACTTACAACACGTGTGTCTTTACAGGGGCTGCTTCTGTGTCTCGTGTCTCTCTGCCTTTCTTTTAAAAGGCTGTCTCATTGAATTTAGGGCCCCACCTAAATCCAGTGTAGTCTCATCTCCAGGTCCTTAACTGCCTCTTTAAGAGCTTGTTTCTCTTTAAGAGCAGGTTCTCCTAGACACATACCTTGGGGGCTGTAGTCCACTCACCACAGCCTCCATCCCTGGACTTCTGTGACTTTACCAGCTTTTCTGAGTCTAGTATGTGTGTTTTTCTTAGGGGAAAAGAGAGGCAACAGAAGTTAAATAGATTTTAATTTGTCCAAATCCAGAATTAGAGGAATTACTTTTTATAGGAGCAGGGAGGTCTGTTTTTTTTGTTGTAGTGTACGGAAGAATAGTAGACTTAGTATGGTAGAGGGAGATTTTCAGAAACCAAGCACAACTTACAGTACCAGCAGGGCAAATAAACTTCGGATGTGTGAATGGGTTATTGTTGTGCCACTGTAAAACTGTAGTATATTTTCCCAACTACTGTTTGGGTTTGGTGTTTTGAGTAAAATTGCTGAAGGGTCTGCCACAGGTTGGGAAGTAAGCAGGTACAGAAAATGAAAAGCAGTAGTTCTTAAGATTTTAAGAGTGGACAAGGATGGTGAGTTTTCTTGAGGAGAGGGGAGAAGGTTAGGACTCACTACTGGTGTGTTAACCCACAGCAACAAAGTCAAAAAGGAAGAAGCGTACTATCTGTAACATGGGTCAGCCTTTTAGTTCAAACTTTACGGAAAGTCACACTCCGCCATTTCTCGTAGTCATGAGATCACTCTTTTCCTGCAGATCGAGGAGACTGGCAGAGGGAAAGAAAGTTCAACTATGGTGCTGGCAATAACAATCCACCCTGGGGTAGCGACCGGCACCATCAGTACGAACAGCACTGGTACAAGGACCACCACTATGGTGACCGGCGACATATGGACGCCCACCGTTCTGGAAGCTATCGGCCCAACAATCTGTCCAGGAAGAGGCCATACGATCAGTACAGCAGCGACCGAGACCATCGGGGCCATAGAGACTACTATGACAGGTGTGCGGAGTTCTGAGACACCAGGGGTTGACTGTAGGAGGGAAAGATGGTGGTGTGCACACATGTATCTGTCAGATCGTTCATTGAATGTCTTGCTTTGTGTCAGTCAGTCGCAAGTCTGATCAGAGGTCAGTGCTGTCCAGGCATCTTCGGGGGGCTGGAGAGAAGTCTTGATGAGAGCCCGCTGCCACTCACTGTGTGCTGGGTGATGGTTGGAAGTGGGGAGTTCTGAGGTTTTCCTGGGATTGGGAGCTTTACTGTGGGCTGGGGAAGAGGAGTGGCCAGTGATTCTTGATCTGGCCCTGAGAGTCAGGTAGACAGAGAGGAGTGGAATACGCACCCCAGGCTCAGGCCAGGAAAGAGCCTCCTGCCTCCTGCCTCCTAGGTCACCCAGAAGATAAGCAGGTGGGGTGAATGCCAGGTATAGGCTTTATGTTTGTGTTCTTTGGTACATAGGAATTATTTGTGGTTTACTTTACCTGAGCAAGAAAGGTTTTCTGCCTACCTTTAAGGAAATCTACCAAGTGCTGGCCATAAAATACTGGAGCCAGCAGCAGACATGGTTAAGCTTTCAGCCATATAGGTAGCAGGGGCTGTGGGGTGGGTCGCACCCTGTGGTCCTTGCCTTCCTCTTGACAGAGTCAAAGCCTTTAGAAGTTGTGCTCTCTCTGCTGCTGTGCAGCACCACCAGTGGTGTGTGTGGTGAGCCGTGGTTTGAAGTGTGAGAGTAGCAAGTATGGGAAGGTTTTGCCTGTTCTTCCTAAATGCAGGACTTGGCTGTGTATTTGATCTCGTAGTAGTTTTGGTTTTCTCTGGGCTGATAACGGGCTCTGCTTGGATTGTACTTGAATTTAAGATGGGGATATTGTGTACATACTTGTCGGTGTCCTGGTATCATTTAGATGATCTGGAAACCCAGGCTGCATTAGCTGAGCAGCAGCTGCTGCCTATCAGCTGTCTCCTTAGAAGGAACCACTACAAAAAAAATACCAAAAAACTCAGAAAACACGAAAAAGAAGGAACCACTACCATCACTGCTGCAGTGGGCACTTGCTCTGTTTTTGTTTGTGTTGATCTGTGTTTCTGTCGGGTATCATTTAAATGTCTTCTGCTTAAAGGACTTTTGTTTTTCTATGGGTCTGCTAGTGGTAAGTTCTCTCACCTTAGGGTTTATGTCTAATAAGGAGTTTATTGTGCCTTCATCTTTGAAAGATGTTTTTGCTGGGTATAAATTTTTAGATGAACAGTCTCTTTAAGTACTGCATTATTATTGCATGACGTCAGATGAGAAAGCTGTCGTTTGGACTGGGGATGTGAGTCAGTGGTACCGTGCCTGCCTGGCCTTTGTGAAGTCCTGTACTCCATCCTCAGGACTACCAAAGGAAGGAGGGGAGGAATCCATTTGTTCTGTATGCAGTGCCGCCTTTTTAATCCTTATTCATGATATATATTTTTTCTCATGTTTCTTGCGCTTGGGAATTGAGCTGCTTGCATTTGTAGGTTTGTCATATCCATAAAATTTAGAAACTTTTCCAATATTCTTTCTGGCTCCCTAGTAAAATTTCAGTTTTACCTACGTTTATTTTGCTGGATGTTTTCACACAGCTCACTCAAAATTGTTTACTGTTTCATTTTGGGTAGTTTCTATTGTACATCTTGAAGAAGCTTACTAGTGTTTTCTTTTTTAATGTCTAACCTCGTGGGACCATCCAGGATAGTTTACATTTCAAAGATGGTAGTTTTATCACTAAAAGTTGTATTTGGGTCCTCTTCCTCCTCCTCCTTCTTCCTTCTTTCCTTTTTTTTTTTTTTTAAATCTTCCATGTCTATAACTTTCCAAAATCAGGAATATAGTCATCAGAGCTCTTTTCTTTTCTTTTCTTTTCTTTTTTTTTTTTTTTTTGGTCTTTTTGAGACAGGGTCTTGCTATGAGTTCAGGCTGGCCTTGAGCTCACTTTGTAGCCCAGGCTGGTCTCGAACTTGCATGGATCCTCCTGCCTCACCCTCCTGAGTGCTGGGATTACAGGCGTGCACCACCACACCAAGCTTATCAAAGCTATTTTAAGGTCCTTTTCTGCTAATTGATTATATAATTTAGAGTTAGACTTGATTGATTGATCTTTCCATAGGTCTTATTGCCCTGGCGCTCTCCATGCCTGGTAGTTTTGATTGGATGCCAGGTAAAATTTACCTTGTGGAGTGCTTTTTGTATTTCTGTAAGTATTTCAGAACTTTATTATAAGACACAGGTTACTTGGAAGCGCTGATCCTTCCAGGTCTTGCTGACAAACTGTTAGCAGAATTGGAGCAGTGCTCAGTGAACTAATGGCTTGAGTTTGGGGATTTGTTTGGCTGGTGAGGATAGACACTGCTGCGTCTGCCTCCTGGCCTTGGGTAGTTTCCCACGTGGGCGCTCAGAGCACTGCTCAGCTGTGCCCTTGATGGGGGGGTCTCTGCAGTCTGCAGACTTCTCTCTCCATGCACATCTCTGCTACTGCTCTGCTGCCTGCTGTGGTCGCCGGGCAGCCTGTGGCCTCTCCCCACCTCTCTCCTCATGAGGCCATAGTCCTGGACAAGGGTTGGACTGGGGCTGCTAAAAGACTCATCTCCTTATGTCCGTCCCTCACGGAGCACTGCTCTTTATCTGTGTCTTAAACACCATAGGTCTGGTTTTGCTTTGGTCCTGGTGGTTCAAGCAGGAGAGTAAATGTGGTCCTTACCACTCCATCTTGACTAGAACCGGGTCACTCAGTTTCTCTCTCTCTCTCTCTGTCTCTGAAATTCACACTGCATAAACGAGCCATTTTAAAGTGAAGAACGCAGTGTGTCGGTGCGCCTGTAGTGTTGTGCAGCCACTCTTCTGTGTGGTTCCACTGCTGTTAGCACCTCAGGGAAAACCCTGAACGGTGAAACTGCAGTTCCTCGTTGTTTCTTCCTTCGCGGTCCCTGGCAACCACCAGTCTGTATTCTCTCACTGTAGATCTGCCTGTCTGGACGTTTCATAGCGAAGGAATCCTGTAACGAGACTTTGGTGTCTGGCTTGCTCACTTAACGTTTTCAAGGTTTATGCGCATCGTGCCCCGTGTCGTTTTCATTCCACCTTACGACTGAACGCTCTGTGGTACATGCACCCCGAGTGCAAGGTCCAGCTGGTGTTCTTCCGCTTCGTCGGTGGAGGCTGTCCTGGCTGTTGCGAACAGCGCCGCAGTGAATGTTGGTGCACAAGTGTCGACTTCGAGTTCTTCCGGGTGTGCACCCGGGAGTAGTTAAGTCATGTTGTGGTTCTTTAACATTTTAGGAACCACCACATTCTTCTCCACAGGGGTTGACTCATTTTATATTCCTTCCAGCAATGTGTAAAAGTTATAATTTTTCTACATCTTGTCCAACACTTTTTCCATTATTTTAAAAATACAGCCATCCTAGTATATGTGAAATGGTATTTTTTTTTCTTTTTTGTCCTTAAAATGTATCTTTTCTTAGTTTTGCAGTTCCAAGGGGATACTTTAGCCCTGGGTTTTGTTTTTTTTTCCACAAAAGAATTGTCATATCTACATAGTTGCTGGGTAGGTGCTATTTTTATTTCTGTATTAAATTTTTATTTTATGAAAAACTAGAACAGAATGTAATAACAAGATAAGAGAATAATAATAGTTAATACACTGTTTATCATTATATTTGAAGTAGTTATTCAGAATACAAGATATAGACCAAAAAGATTTTTACACAGAAGCAGCAGACAGATAATAGCAAAAGACTTTCTTTTCAATGAACTAGTACTATAAATGAAATACATTAGTAGATATATTAAAATAGTTTTGAAACAATTGGAGTAGGTAATTTGGAGAAGTATTTGAACTTCTCCCTATTATCTATCTATCTGTCTATCTAGTGTGTTTATTTCTCATATATGAGAAACTATATTTAAGCTTGTATGTCTGAATCACTTCAGTTAACATCTTCTCAAGTTGTATCCATTTGCCTACGAATGCTTCATGTTCACCTTTATTGGCAGAGCACTATTCCATTGTGTATAAATACCATTTTCTTTATTCATTCATTTGTTGATGGACATATACACTGTTTCCAAGATCTAGTTACAATAAATTGTGCTGTTATAAACATGGGTATACATGTAACCCTGATGATTTTAACTCTTTGGGGAAGATCCCTAGAAGAAGGATAGCTGGGTCAAATGGAATTTCTAGTTTTAGTTTTTTGAGAAATCTCTACACTGATTTCCATAAGTGGTATTAGTTTTCATTCCTGCCAACAGTGTAGAAGAGTTCCTTTTTCCCTTCATCCTCACCAGCATTTGTTATTATTAGATTTTTTTTTTTTTTATGGTAGCCATTCTTCTGGGGTAAGATGGTATCTTCCTGTTAATTTTAATTTGCATTTTTCTGATGTTCAGCAATGATGAGCATTTTAAAATTTATTTATTGGCCATTTGTTCTACTTCTGAGAAGTGTCTGTTCATTTTAGTTGCCCATTTTTTGATTGTGTCTTTTATTTTGGGGAGTCTACTTTTTTTTTTTTTTTTTTAGTTCTTCATGTATTCTTCATGTTAATCCTCTATTTGAGGAGTAGCTGGCAAAATTTTATCTTCCAGCAGATTAAGTATTTGTTTACCACTTAGATCTTCGATCCATTCTGATTTTTAGTTCATTCCATAGTGAGATCTATAGGTCTGTCTGGACTCAGTCTGCCACATGTGGATATCCAGTTTCCCCAGCGCCATATATTAAAGAGGCTATCTTTGCTGAAAGAGATAATGAAAGGGTAACACTGTGGGTTTGACTTGCATTTCCCTACTGGTTGTTTGGGTTGCACGTCTTGTTCTGGGCTTATTGACCATTTGTGTGGGGTTTTTTTGGGCAATATCTATTCAAGTCTTTTGTTTTTCAGTGAGTTGTACAGATTCTATTTTAATGGTATAACAAGAAGTTTATCAGGGTCTAGGCTAAAAATCTGAATTCTCTTCTCATTGAACACCAATTTAAAAATAATTTTATTAACCTTAACTGTTGATTGTGGTTTTTGCTGTTACCGTTAACGTAAAAATAATTTCCATGGGTCTTTTCTCCTGAGCTTGGTTAAAGGCTATGAAAATATTTACAAAATCAGCAGTAACTGTTCATGTGTGTATTTGCATCACTGTAGATCTGACATATTGAATGTCATTTCATAGGATGTAATTGTAGCAAAGATTTATTAAAGGTAGGAAAAGAAACAGGCTCTGCAGAACAAGTTTGGGCCAAGAAAAAGTAGCAAAATAAGTGCACCCTACGTGTGAGGGCGGCCACCATGGAGAGGAAACACACTGGCCTTATATGATGTATTTTGCCAGTAAATATAACATGCCGCTATTACAGCTTTCTTTTTGGCTTTGAACTCACTATGTAGCCCAGGCTGGCTTGGAACTCACAGTAGTCCTCCAGCCTCAGCCTCTAGACTGCTGGGATTATAGGAGTGTGCTACCACATTCAACTGTTTTTGTTTTTCATTTGTTTAACTTTTGATTGCAAGTCCACTGAGTACAAGAGGAAGTAGACGATGAGGAAGTGGGTGGGAGGGTGGAGGTGGCTTGGTGCAGATCCCTTGCCTAATGTGTGAGGCCCAGCACCACATGAAAAAAAAGAGGTGGATGAAAATCGGGCTTTGGACGTTCAGCTAATCCTTGTCTCTGTTTCAGACACCATCATGACTCCAAGCGGAGGCGATCGGATGAGTTCAGGCCTCAGAATTACCACCAGCAGGATTTCCGACGAATGTCTGATCACCGCCCCCCTATGGGCTACCATGGCCAGGGACCCTCAGACCATTACCGCTCTTTCCACACAGACAAATTGGGGGAATATAAACAGCCGCTGCCCCCGCTGCACCCCGCAGGCTCGGATCCTCGCTCACCCCCTTCTCAAAAATCTCCTCATGAATCCAAGTCCCCCCTGGATCACAGGTCTCCTTTGGAGAGATCACTAGAACAGAAAAACAACCCAGATTATAACTGGAACGTTCGGAAAACATAAAGGACAGCGTGGTCGGGGGAGAGCAGGAGTCATCAAGCACGTGGACGCTTTGGGTTGGTGGCCGGTTTTGGGACCGGGGTGGAGCTTCTGGATATGCTGCCACCGGCTCCTGCCGGCCAAAGGAGCACTTCAGGGAGTGGGAGGCCTTTGGCGGCCAGCTTTGGTCTGGGCACTGCTCCTGCACTTTGGCCCCCGCCCGACTCCAGCCTGGCTCAGGCCTCCCGCCTCGATGGGTGCTAGGAGGAGCGGTGACTTCTGCATACCAGCTTCATTGGGCTGTTCTCCAGTGAAGGGATTGGGGATCTCTGAGTCATGAATGTCTTGTTGCCAGGTTCAGTGTCCCCTGGACCTCGGTGCAGTGGTCAGGGGAAGGCACTGGTGCATGAAGGCTGCCGAGACCTGCTGGACAGTGTGTGATTGGTTCACTATGATGTAACGGATGCTGCTGACGGGGGCGGGGTGGGGTTGGGGTGAGGGTGGCGTCTCACATCTAGGACTTGGAGGGGAGCAGGTGCACCCCTCCAGTGTGTTCTGGGAGAAGTGAGACTCTTGACCCACATGTGAAACCTAAGGGTGGGGTGGGGCGGGGCCGGATAAAGAGAGGGAAGCACCTTCTGCCTTTGCCTCCTCCCTACCAACACTAATTCCCTGCTGTCTTTGTATATTTCAGAGCCTCGGTCTCACTGTGGGCCTCCTTTTTCCCTCTGTGCTGGGGAGAGGCAGGCTGACTTCGAGTGCTGTGAGTTAGGCAGCCTTGGTGTCAGCATGGGTCTCACTGACTGGGGAGTGAGCCGAAGGGTGTAGGGTGGGCTGGGGAGGGGTAATGTGGCCAGGGAACGGGAATCCCTGGCAGGCTTCTGACCTGTGGTGGGAGGGGAAGGAGAGGGCAAGCAGAGGCGGGCTTGCCAACCAGCCAGCTGTTCACGGCTGGAGTGGGGCCCTCGGAAGGCAGTGGGCAGGTCCCACCTGTGGGGGAGGCGTGCGAGCGAGCGGGGCGCTTTCAGTATTGGAGTAGGCCGGCACTGCAGCTGCACTCTGGGTTAGTTCCCTTGCACAGCTCGAAGAAGTGGACTGAACAGAACCATACATCTCCTGGCGTTCGTGGGCTGGTCAGACAGAAATCAGCTACCTGTGGTGAGCAAGTTTCCACCTGGAGCTGGAGGTCATTAGAGTTTAACTCTCTGTCTTTTAGGGTAAGATCTGTGAAGTATAAACCAGCGTTAATTGTTTTCCAAGCTAGGAAGCATCCAAAGCCGGAGTAGCTGGCTACGGGTGGTAAGAATCACGCTCGAGTTGGGATTGAGTCAGGACTAGGGGCCAGGTGTCACATCATGAAGCAGGCTCCTTTCAGTGTACTGATGCTGGGGCCTTCTAAAACATTCATTGTCAGTATAGATTGCCAGTATTCTTAAGGCATCCAAAGCCTTTGTAGATGGAGACAGAAACACTGACTGAGACCTAAGGAGCAGTGTGCCTCTGAGTGTCCAGACTCAGAGCTGATGAGAGCCCTGCCCTGCGCGCGTGCAGGGTTAAACCCACTGAACTGACTGCAGACCTTGTCCTGGGCAGCACCATTAGCGCCTCCACCGAGACCTGCTGGACCACTGCTCCCTACTTGGCTTCCCGGGTAGGAGCCCTGATCTCTGCAGCGCCTCTGCTCCCACGGTACTCTGGGTTGCTGGCTTTGGCCTCTACATTCATGTCCTGCAGCAGAGCCCAGTGACTGCTTGGAGAAGGTGGGGAATTCAGCCTCCACCCTGGCTACACGGTGAAAAGGAAAGCAGAGGTGGAGCTTCTTGCTGATGGTTATGCCACTACCCCATGTTTTTCCCGCCCAAGCCAAAGAGCAAGGCTAGGTTGGCTTGCTGCGCCCCTGATTGTTGTACCGACTCACTAAGGTTTTTCTCTCCAGTTGTTGATAGGAAATGCAAGTTATTCCCAAAGATGTCTCATCATGAGGAAAGAGAAACTTACTTTTGTTCATATTCAGGACTTTTGGTGCCATATGATGTAGCAGGAGGCAGTATCAGCCAGATCAGTGTTACATTGCTTCGGAAAAGACAGCATGCTTCTGTAAACATCTGTGTTAGGTGGTGAAGGATATCTGAAGAGTGGGCTGGTAGAAAGGAAGCACTTCCTCATTGATTTAAATCAGTATGAGCAGCATACGCTGGAATCACAACAGAAGTTTGCACAGGTAGAAATTCTCACGTGTAAGCGGGAGAAGTTGCCCGGGAACTGGAGGACCGTATTCTGTGGAGCCTGGCGATAAGCTCTTGCATTGTTGGTGGAGATAGAGTGGGTTGAGCGAGGAGGGAGTGACCCTCACCAAAAGCCGAGGTAAACGAGGACGGACCTGATGCACGATAGCCCTAGGACAGGACACATGAAGCCCAGGCTGAGGCTGGGCCCTCTGGGAGCCTGGCCCCATGGCCCTTGGCCTGCTGTCCTCTCCATTTAGTCATTCCTGTCAGAGGGACACCCAAGCGTGTCTCACGCCGCCCTGCAGACGCTCCGGCCCCATGCGCAGGCGCCGCAGTGCAAGGGTGTTCACTAGGCGTTCACGCGGTGACACTGAAGTCCTATGACCAAATCCACTTGTCAGCAGGAGCGGCGGCCCAGGCCCAGCACAGTGGTCTTGCGGGCCGGGGTGGCCGGGGCGAGGAGCCACGCCAAGGGTCCAGGCTGCTTTAGTCCATCTGCGCCCCACTCACTGGGGACAGGTGGTTTTCTTTATTGTAAAATTGTGGACTTTTAAACCTGTTGACTAAACAGTAATTAATTTATATTTGTGAAAAATGCCACTGTCCTAGTGATTTCTGATGTAAATAATGTTGTTTATATAGTATGTATTAAATTTTCCTACATTGTAAAACTGCTGTACTTTTGATTCTTGTATATTAAAAAGTGTTACTAAGGATTTTTAGCCGCGGGCTACCATGTTGCCTTGCATTTCGGTGTGAGCTGTGACTGGACTGGAGGTGCCGCCCGTCTCCCTCTCCTTGTGCCATGCTGGGTCCTGTCTGGGATTCTTGACAGCCTGGCACCTTCTCCAGTAGCATTTTTTCCCCTAGCAAACGCCGTTTTGTTGTTTTTTCCGGGCCTTGACGCCACAGGTTTCTCAGATTTTCTGTCCCCAGCAAGCTATTAAGGGTGACAGTTCCCTCGCTGAGCAGTTACAGGCCGAAGCCCACAGCCATGCGCTCCCCACGTGGCCTGGAGCTGCTGGGTCTGCCCGTGGTCTCCCCGGTGCCAGTCCTGGGAAGACAGGCTGGGCGCACCCCGCATCCAGAGAGAAATAAAAGCACTTTTCTGCCAGTGCACAGCTTGGAGGTTGCTTTAACAGTTGGGTTACAGATTCTAAAGGGAGAAAAGGCATTTTATAACGGAAACGCTGACACTAATGTTCACTCGGGCAGATGGCACAGGGCCAGGCAGCTTCAGCGTGGCCCGGACTGCAGGAACTTGCTCATACCTAAGGGTTTTTACGAATACTTGAGTAACTGACACCGAGCTCAAACCTTTCTCGTCATCTTCTCCACCCTCTTCCTCATGGCCTTCAGTGTGCTGTGCAGCCCAAGTTGGTCTCAAACGTGAAATCCTCCTGCCTCAGCCTCTCAAGTGCTGGGAGTACAGTTGTGCACCACTAATTAATTCTTCAGCTCCATTAATTCTTGACACCAGGTGGGGCTACTTGTCCGCTGAGAGCGCAGGAAACAACTGTGACTGCCCTGCAGCTCAGGGCCTTGGGCACAGGACCTTGCTTGGCCTGGCCGGGGCAGGAGGGCTGGGGTCTTCAGTGCATGTAGCCCTTGGGTGAATGACGAGCTAAGAGCTTTTCCTGCGCGTAAGAAAACTTCACTTAATCCTGCTGCCGAGCACAACTCGGCCGGAATGACCTGGAACTTTAGGAACAAGTGCTGCAATAATCCACCTATTAGGATTTACAATAGCAGCACGGCTTCAAGACCAACTGCTGCCAGGGCACCTGCCCTTTACCTGGCAGCACAGGCCCAGGGCCCTGCCTCCTCCCTCATTGGCATCCCCATTGGCCCTCTGTGCCAACAGAAGGGTCACTTGCTGAAACCCAAAGCCCTGCCTACAGGCTTCTCCCATCAGAGGTGGGCAGGGCCACACCCACTCCTCAGGGCCCATGCCCGGTGGAGGGCCTCCTGTATGTCACTTTCCCATCCCCAGGACTAAGTTCCTGCACCACAGCTCAGAGGAGGAGAGGTTGGTTTTGGCTCCTGGTTTCCTCCACGGTCGGGGGCTCCACAGCGGAAACAGCGAGGCTGAGGGGCCTGGGCGGAGGACAGCTGCCCACCTCAGGGAAGCCGGGAAGCAGAGAGAGGAGGGAGGAGCTGGGGACCAGAACGCACCCTGCCAGGTCCCGCGTGGGAGGTGAGCACCTCCCAGCAGGCCCGGCCTCCTCAGAGCACAGAACCCAGGCGCTCACCCGTGGGTGAAGCCACTGACCTGCACAGCGCCCCAGGATCCAACCACCTCTCCAAAGCCCCAGGTGTCCAAAGGAAGGCCGCTCCTTGAGGTCCTGTGGATCCACGTGAGTGGCGCCCTGGGCGAAGGGAGAGGTTTGCAACCCCGAGCCGGGCAGGAGCTGGGGCAGCTAGAAAGGCGAGGGAGACCTGGTGCGTGCGGCGGCCGGCTCAGAGCTGGTAAAGCCACAGCTTGCTGTGCGGGGACAGAAGCCCAGCGGGAAGGCCCAGCAGGGACCACAGCCTTCTAGAGGCGCTCAGGCTCCACGGGGAGATGCTGCTGGGGTCAGACGGCTCCTGCAGAGGTTCTCCTTGATCGAGCTCCACTGCCCACTGAGGGCGGGCTCTGGGACCCAAGCAGAGAGCCGGAGGGACGCAGTGGAACGGGCGGGGAGGGGGGGCAGGCGGCACACCAGCAGGCAGCAAGAGGGCACAGTCTCCTAAGTGCCAGGGAGATGTAGCCGGAATTGCAGGGCGGGGTGCAGGGTGCAGGGAGCAGAGCCCGGGCAGACGGGTCCCGCACAGCAAGAGGCCCGGCCAGGGCATGAGGGCGGTGGCGCGGGGGCTTGGACCCCAGCTCCGTCCTTAGCGGCGGGTCCAGCCCTCAACTATGAAGTGACACTCTTGTGCCCTTACCAGCCAGAGACAGGGACGAGCGAGGTCTCGGAGATGGCGCACAGCGCTGGACACCTGTCGTCCCGGGGCTCCTGACAGGGCCTGTGCGGGCTGCCCTTCCACTACGTCTCCGGGGCAGAGGCTGAGGGCCTGGGCGCCTGCGGTTCCGGATGCTGCCTGCAGAGGGCAGCAGGGGCCCACAAACGCCCGCCTGGCAGTACCCGGGACTGCAGAGCCAGGTCGCAGGGAGCCGCCCCCGCCCTGCAGGAGGCGCGACCCGCCAGGCAGGAGGAGAGGGGTAGGGGCGCGGGGAGAGGACGTGGAACTTGTGATCCTCCTGCCCCAGCACCCAGTGTGCTGGGACTACAGGTGTGCGTGTCCCTGCCCAACCCAAGGGACCACGCTGTCTGGCGACCCTCACCCGGACGCCCAAGCTGGCTGCCTTGGGTCGGAGCCCTCTGCCACCTGCTGCTGCTGGCCACTCCAGCCCCGGCTCCTTCCGGACCCCTGGTGACCGCCAGCCCACACTGCCGTGGCCGCTCCAGCATCTGAAGCCAAATTCGCCTCTAGACCCCTGTCCCTCCCCCTCCTCCGCCGGCCCCCAACTGCTGAGGCCTGATCCCCTCCGGAATCGGTTCCGAGCTGGTTCCCCTGAGCGGCCCTTTCCAGCCCGCTATCCCACCCGTTTCAGGCGGTCTCCCTCTGCGCCCGCAGCCAGGCCAGCACTCCTGTGGGTCGCGCCCACCGGCACTGTCCGGCCCCTCTGGCTGCGAGGCTGCTTCCCCTCATTGTGCGGCTGGGTGGGCGTCCGCGGCCGCGCCCTGTGGCCCTCGGTGTCCCTGGGCGGACAGTGACCTCAGGGGCAGCTGCTGCCCCTGGGGGCCCCCTTTGGAGAGGTGTCCAGAAAGAAGGGTGTGGGATGGAGGGGTGCTGCCACCTGCCAGAGGCAGGCGACTGCCAGGACAGCTTCCTAAGGCTCCCCTGCAGCGGTTAGCCCTTAGCTGCTGGGCTGCGGGAAGGGCCGGAGACGCCAGGGGGCCAGCGCGGGTGGCCGTGGGCTTCCTGGCCGAGTAGACAGGGGCGTTTGCTACCTATGCGGGTGGGAGCCCAGCATGCCAGCGGCTGAGACGGCTGGATCACAGGCCTCAGTGCCCAGCGGCCAGGGCCTGGCCAGCGCCCTCTACAGGGAGTGGTGGGGAGTAGCAAGGGCTGAGCGGCGGCAGTGGGGTGGAGAGCCCCGCTGGCCGGTCCGGGAGGAACCCTGGCCCAGGGGGAACAGGCCTCAGGGGTCCGGGCCCAGGCCTGGTGACCTGTCCTGAGGTCCCGTGCTCATCTCCTGCGAGACCAGAGATGGAGCCTCTGTGCCCGCCTCCGCTGGGGCTCCCTCTCCGCATTGCTCTGGGCTGCGCTGCCCTCTAGCTACCGCTCTTTGCCTCCTCGAGTGGCCTCCACGTCACCTGTCCCCGAGCTCCAGTGTGCTCACAGCGGCCACCTGCCCTTCCTCTCCCACAGTGGGTGCAGACCCCAGCCAGAGAGATGGGGTCCACCGCTGCGCCTCCCCCTGGGAGTGCAGATGCAGGCCAGGAGGCTCGTTCTTTCAGAGGTCTCTGGAAGAATTCGACTTCTAAAAAGTGTCTGCATTTTAATGCAGTTTACGTGTGTGCTGCTGAGGCGTGAACTCTGCCTCTGAGGGGCAGCTTCATTTGAAAGAGATCAATCTGGGGCTGGGGATTTAGCTCACCGGCACAGCGCCTGCCTGGCAAGTGTGAGGTCGTGAGTTCGATTCCCAGTACCGGAAGAAAAACAAAAAGAAAGAAAGAAAGAAATCGACCTAAGCTAATCCCGGAGCATGCGGAAGGCAGGGAGGCTTGGGCCCCGCTCCCTTAGGTTGAATTGGTGGTGCCAAGGGTCAGAGCTAACTCTGGTGGCCTGGGGACCCCCGCTGAAGGCTTCACAGGCCTGAGGGGGGCAGCAGAGGGAATGGCACCCATGACAGGCTGCGGGGCTCCCGGCCGGGCCCTGCCGTCCCAGCCGCCTCGCACTGAGGGGGCCTGTTTGTGTCCACCACACATCACCAGCCATTGCTTTAAATCACGCAGTTCACTTGAGTTGTGCTGGTTGTGCTTAGGGTTAATTAGTAAGCGTGTCTTGCTTTTCTAGTCGCAGCAGCGCGGATCACAAAGACTCTCCCTGGTCTCTCGAATAATACAGTGGACGCACGGCAGCCTGCGGGGCCTGGCTCCCACAGGAGGTCTGTGCACTGCGTGTGCCTGGGAACGCGGGCGGCCAGGACCTAGGTCCCTAGGCAAAGTCGCCCGGGAGATGGGCGACGGCTCACCCACGACGCCACAGCCAACGCTGTTGTCCGTTTGAGGGTGCGGTCGGTGAGCGGAAGTCGCTAAGGAAATGTGGAGAAAGGAAGATTCTGGGTGAAGCGACCAGACGGCGTTCCTGCGGAAGGCCGGCCGAGGCCGCAGGCATCACCTGCGGGAGCTGGAGGCCCACAGACCTGAGCACGGTTGTAGCCAAACCCGCACAGTAGGATGCTTGGTCAGACTGCACAATGCAGGGCTCTGCGCGGAGGGCCGAATGCTAAGGCATTCGGAGAGACGCGCTGTCAGAACCCACGTTCCAGCCCAGGTCCTGTCACCAGCCCACTGCCGCCTTTTCCTGTGGTCCCAAGTTGGTAGCAGAGGACAATGATGCCCAGCTACAGGATGCAACTCAAGGTCAAGGTCAGTGGGCTCCTGAGGACCCGAGGGCACAGTGTCGCTCTGCCCCTTGCGTGGAGGCGGAGCCTGGAGGTGCGCGTCTGTAA